AGGCAGCGAGCGTGCCCACAGCCCAGGAACAGAAGGGAGCCGGAGCAGGGTGGTGGGGTAGAGTCGTAGGGGTCAAAGGGGCAGGGCGGAGGAGAGCAGGTTATTAGGACATTGTAGTGACTTTGGCTTTCACTCTGAGGGAAATGGAAAGGCTTTGCAAGATTTTGAGCAGAGGAGTGAAAAGATCTGAGTTAATTTTTAAAAGGGACTCCTGTGTCAGACAAAAGGGTAAAAACTTTATTTACGATTTTAGGATATTAGGCAGTGGAGTGATCCGACTAGACCATTGTATTAGGAATAGACTGGAGGTAAGCAAACCGTTGGTTTTGATTATGAAAAAAAGCTAGTTCTAAACCTAGCACCTTGGACAAGACTAGACAGGCTTTTAGGGAAAGGAAAGAAAGCTGCTTCTAACATCAGAATCCCAGTGAAGTAGTCTGACTCTGCTGCCACCCTCTTAGAAAGTTAAAGAAACACTAAGCTGACAAGTAAAGTTGTTAGGGTTCCCAGTAAGGAAATGGGGAGCTGTTTGTGGGAAACACCAGTGCTGACGTGGGGCAGAACAAGAGTCAGACTGTGTCAGTTCAATGCCAAGAAAAGTTGCCACAGGTACTTTTCATCTTTGAAATTACCTATTTCTCCATCCTCTTGCCTGTCTTTGCCTTTTTATATTCAACCTCTTTGAAGACGAGGGATTCTTGTTTGAGTTTTTGCTTTACGTTAACTATAGCAGATTGTAATCTGTTCAAAATAATAATTTAGGAGCTCTTCCAAGCTTAGGAATGCAAAAACTTTTTTTGTGATTACTTCTGAAACTTGGAATAGATTCTTCAAATGCTGAAACAGATCTCGAATATTTTGTTATCGATTTTATGCGACTTTATCTTGTAGATTAGTTTTGTTTAAATAATTTCATGCCTCTTCTGGGAAACCTTTTTTCATATAAATTAAATCAGACCAAGTTTGAAATAGCCCATGACTTTTTCCTTTTGCTCTAAATTATTTATGACTTTTCCACTTGTAACATTTTGTGATTTAAACATAGTATAGAAAGGAAACCATAAATAGAGACTCTGACACTTTGAAAACAATGAGCACATCTATATTAAGATTATGAACAAGCTTGGAAGAATGTAGAAAGGCTTGGGAGTGAGAGACTCAGTGGAAGATTCTACAGAAGAGAGGGTGGATTATCGTGGTCCTGGGCAGAAGGGCAGCCAGAGGCAGTATTGTAGAGTAGTTAATAACCTGAGACTTCGGCATTATATGAGTCTAGCTTTTAGTTCATAACGTTTTGCTTACTATTGGTTAACTCATTTTTTATGTCATTGGAATAGGTTATTTACAGTATCTACCTCATGTTGAGGACTACATTACATAATGCATGCAAAGTGCCTCATACTTAAGCTCTCAAAACATGTTAGAAAATAAAAACAAAAGCAGAAAGTCAGTCTTGTCTTTTCAAACTTGTCTTTTCAACAAATTATTGTGAAGTAACTGGATATCCATGAGGGAAAAACAACCCATACCTCACAGCGTTTACAGAGATCATATTAAGATGAGTTATTAACATAAATGTAAAAGCTAAAACAAAAAGAACATACTTCCTGACTTCAGAACTTACTACAAAGCTACAGTAATCAAAAACAATGTGGGCCTGGCTTAAGGATGGGCATCTAGGCCAATGAAATAGAATTAAGAGTTCAGAAATAAACCCGTATATCTATTGCCAATTGATTTTTGACAAAGGCGCCAAGACCACTCAGTGGGGGATAGTCTCTTCAACAAATGGTGCTGGGACAATTTGATATCCAAATGCAAAAAAAAAAAAAAGAAGATGAAGTTGGACCACTTCAACCATATGTAAAAATCAGCTCAAATGTATCAGTGAAATTAATATAAAATATGAAACTATAAAACTCTTTGAAGAAAACATTGGGTTCAATCTTCATGACTTTGGATTGATAATGAATTCTTAGATATGACACCAAGAACATAAGCAACGAAGAAAAAATAGACAAATTAGACTTCATTAAAATTAAAAATTTTTATGCATCAAAGTATATTATCAAAAAAGTGGAAAATGCAATGTACAAAATGAGAGAAAATATGATTTGAAAATCAAATTTTGATAAGGTTTTTATATCCAAAATATATAAAGAACTCTTACAATTCAACAACAAAAAGACAGCCCAATAGACAAAAGAGTTCAATAGCTATTTCCCCATAGAAGACATACAAATGGCCAACAAGCACATGAAAAGATGCTCAACATCATTAGTCATTAGAAAAATGCAAATCAAAACCACAAATAAATATCACTTCACATCACTAGGATAATTATTTAAAAACAAAACCAAAAAACAAAAACAAAAGTGTTGTCGAGTGTACTGGATTGAGTAGTTAGCATTCCCCCACAAATCCACGTCCACCCAGAATCTCAGAATGTGATTTTATTTGGAAATAGGGTCTTTGTAGATGTAATTACGTAGGAAGAGGGCATACTGGATTAGGGTGGCCCCTAACTCCAAAGACCAGTGCCCTTGGAGGAGGCCATGGAGGCAGAGGTCGTGTTCTGCTGCCAAAAGCCAGGGGCCTCTGGGGGCGACTGGAAGCCGGCGGAGTCAGGAACGTTCTTCCCTGGAGCTTCCGAAGGACCACGGCCCTGCACATACCTGGATTTCAGTCTTTTAAGCCACCTAGTTTGTGGTGACGTGGCACAGCAGCCCTAGGAAACGAATACAGCAAGGGGGTGCGGAAAGGGGCGCCCTCGTATGCTGCTGGTGGCAACGTAACGTGGTCCACTGCTGTAGAGCACAGTTAGCCGTTCCCAAAACGTTAGACATGGAGTTACCATATACCCACCCTGTCTGCCCAAAAGAATTGACAGCAGGTACTCAGACACTAGTACACAAATGTCCTATTTGTTACAGTAGCACTATTCACAATAGTCAAAAGGTAGAAACAACCCAAATGTCCACCACGGGTGAACGGCAAACAAAAATATGTGTACATGCAGTGGAATGTTACCCAGCCTCAGAAAGGAATGATGTCCTGACATGTAACATGGTGTGGAGGAACCTCAAAACCGTTAAACCATCACGCCGAGTGACACAGGACAGACAGAAACGGTCACATGCTGTGTGGCCCCATTTATCAGAATAGTTGAATCCACAGAGACAGTAAGTCGTGGGTGCCGTGGCCCGCGGGCGAAGGAACAGGGAGAGACTGCTTAGTGGGTACCAGATTTTCTTTTGGGGGTGATGGAGATGTTCTGGAACTAGATAAAGGTGGTGGCTGCACAACATCGTGGATGTACTCAGGCCTACTGAATTGTACACTTTAAAATGTTAAGTTTATTCAGCCGTCTGTGATGGACACCTAGGTGGCTTCCACATCTTGGCTGTTGTAAATTGTGCTGCCGTAAACATAGGGATGCAGCTATGGTTCATATATACAATGGAATATTACTCAGCCCCTAAAAAAATAAAATCCTACCATTTGCAATGACATGGATGGACCTAGAGGTTACTATGCTGAGTGAAATAAGTCAGACAGAGAAAGATAAATATGATTTCACTTATATGTGGAATCTAAGGAACAAAAAGAACAAACTAATCAAAAATAGACTTACAAATATAGAGGAAAATCTGGCGAAAGCCAGAGGGGAGGGAGATTGGGGACTGGGAGAATGGGGTGAAGGGTTAAAGAAGTACTAATTAGTAGTTGATGGATGGGCATGAGGATGGGGAGCATGGCATAGGGAATGCAGCTAGCGTGAATGCAATGGCTAGATGGAGAGCCAGAGGAGAGAAAGAGCAATTTGAGGGATCATTTTATAAACTATATAAATGTCTAATCAATGTACTATATACTTGAAAGTAATAAAATAAAATTTTAGAAAAATGTCAAGTTTATGTTATGTGACTTTTACCTCCATTTTAAAAAAGACCAAACCATACGGCTTTTAGAAGCAATATAGAGGAATATATTTTGTAATCAGTGGTAGGCAAAACTTTTAAAAATAGAACCCAGAAAGCAATAACTATAAAAAGCAAAACAAAACAAAACAAAACAAAAAGCTAGGGAATTAGATTGCCAGGCACTATGAAGGCCACTTGAGGTTTGAGGTCCTGAACTTAAAGGACAGCGATCAGCATGGTTGCGTGTGTGTCCCTGTTTGTTTCCAGCTGCCGCAGGTCAGCACCGAGTGGAGAGGGTTGTACTACATCATGATTACTGGCTTTGCCAGGTAAGTATCCGTGCAGGGAAGTGATGGTAGCAACTGACGTTGGGGAATGTAAACGGAGGAAAAGGGGCCGGAATACGGCAGTGAGGGCTGAAGGACAGCAAGAACATGCTAGGATCAGATAGCGTTAGACTTGGTGGGCCTCCGGATGGTGGAGGCGGAAGCCCCACGGTACGTTTCGATGCCATCTAGGGGTGTGCCTGAGTGTATCGAGAGTTACTTTTATTTTACAGAACTGAAAAGTTCACAAAAGGGAATTTGAAACTGAGCTCAGACAATTGGTTATATACTTTCCTAGACTGTACTAGCTTTTCTCCGTGGTCCTTGAAAGCGTGTAGGAAGCAGCTTTTGAGGACTCGTCCTGTTACGGCTTCCTCAGGTGCATCTCGAGCCAGCGTGTGCTTCAGCTCCGAGGATGAGCCGAGATGTGTGTGGCTCCTCCTCAGTGCTCTGGCCAGCACCGGAGGGAAAGCAGGATTCTAAGAGTTGTTTGCTCTTTGACATTTTGGATTTAAAAGATTGTGATAAAAAATATTACTTGAAGAATTGTCATGTTTTAGGGATGGAAGAGAAGTTTACATAATCTACAGTTTTAGCTCCATTACTTTAACTGACAGCTCCTACCTCACAAGACAGGTCATTTTGTTATAGACAGCTTTTCAGGTAGGGGCTACTTTGTTTAAAAGCTCTTTTTATTGGGCGAAAGTCTTGATCTTGTAACTTCTTCCTGTTAGTTTTAGGTGTGAATTCTGAAATATTATGTGGAACAAGTCCAGTTGCTCTTGAACTTCCCTTTAAATAACATTTTTTTCCTTTTAATATTCTAATCAATAACCAAATCTATCTTCTTACCTTCACCCCTCTTCCACATAGCTCACCTAGGTGTCTACAGAAGATTCTTAACTGACCTCTCTGCCTCTCTGTCTGGCACTCATCAGTTATCGAAGTGGTAATATACCACGTTGTTTTCAGAGAGGGAATATATCCAAAACACACATAATAATAGTAGTACTAGTACTATTAGTAGTATTAAACGAGTCCTCAGAAAGCTCTTAGCAACGTCTGTACTTGTTACTCCTTAAAATAATCTTGTGAAGTAATTTCTGTTATTATTATCCTCACTTTTCTGATTTGGGTACAGGGCCAAATAGTTAACTAACTTGCTGAAGGCCATACAGCTGCTAAGCTGTAGAGCCAAGTTCAAATCCAGACCTCTAGATTCGGAGTGCACGCTCTCAACCACCACTTCCAGCTCTTTCTTCATCTTTCTTTCCTGAAACACCTCAGTGCCTCCCACGTAGGATCCGGTTCGGCCCGGCACGTAGCGCCCTGTGTGATCCAGCCCCGTTTCTCTTCTAGAGCTTCGTCTCCTACTGTTCCCACTTTCTTTACCGTCCCATAAACCTCGACTGCTTGGTTCACCCCAATGCCCTGTGTTTTTTCACATACAGGTGCTTTTACGACCACCTCTTTCAACTTGCTGATTCTTTCAGATTATTCTTCAGGACTCATTTCTGGAGACAGTGCCCATCGCCTGCATGGTCCTCCTTCCCCGAGGGATGGGGCGTTTCTCCAACAGCTGTTCCTTTGTCCCTAATGTCATCAGGAGACTATCGTTTCACTGACCACATCGAATGGAAACTACATGCCAGAAGCTCCTCAAAGACAAGGGCCACATCTTATTTTTCTCTTAAAAGCACTGATAGCCATGAGTTACACTCAATAAAGTTCTAAGTTTTTATTTTGTTTGCAGATGACGATTTGCATTGATGGCTTGCAGGATCATAAACAAAAGAAGGCACGTGGGGCTGCAACAACTTTCATCACTTGCAGAAACAGGAAGAACTTTCCTGGGCCCCGTAAAATCATCCAAATTTGTTATAGATGAGGAGTGTCATGAAAGTGTGTTAGTCAGTTCGGCAGTAAGGCTTCTGGAAAGTTTGGATTTATCCAGTGCGGTGGGACAGCTTCTCAATGAAGCCGTGCAGGCGCAGAATAACGTGCATAGAACTGGGACCAGCACTCTCCTATTCCTCGTCGGGGCCTGGAGCAGAGCTGCTGAGGAGTGTCTTCACCTGGGTGTCCCCACTTCATTAATAGTGTCGGTAATGTCAGAAGGCTTGGACTCTTGCATTGAAGCGGTCAGGTCCCTTCAGGTGCCTGTCCACAATGTGTTTGACGACGTGGACAGCACAAAGACATTTTCTGGACTTGAATCATCGAGTGGCAGTTCGTGTCCTTTTCTACAAATCCCTTTAGATGCCGGTTTGATACAGAAAGAGCATGAGGTCCGAGAGGTCGCCTCTCAGTCAGGGACCATTTACAATCTTTCTGGGAAGCCTGTTAAAACAGCGGAACTTTTTAGAACTCAGGCTAAGGCCGAAGCAGGTAAAAACACGTCACCGACCCCTCAAACTCTGAGAAGCAGTCTGCTCGCAGACACCCGCTGCAGAAAGTCGGTGCTGACCCACAGCAGGCATTTTAATAAGATGGATCATAATGAAAGGCTGAGCAAACCGGGCAGATTTCCAGAAGGACATGGTGCGGCCGCTCGGCCAGCTTGCAGCTGCGGTGATCTGGTGGCGTTGGAGGCAGGTCTGAGCCACGGCGATCACGACAGCATGGGATTCGTCAGCGAAGCTCTGCGGCTGCAATGCCAGCGGGCAAGCGGGTCACACCAGGGCGACTGCACGCCCGTGCTCGGGTTCGACATTTCACGGGTCTTCACCTGCTGCTTACCAGGTTTACCCGAAGCTTTTTCTTGTGTCCACCCCGGATACGTCACTGCCGTGTCAGTGCCCAGTACCAGTCTGATCCAGGAATTACAGAATCAGCCCCTCCGGGTGGTTCTCATTGAGGGCGACCTCACCGAGAGTTACCGCCACCTGGGCTTTAATAAGTCTGCAAATATCAAAATGGAAAGCATGAAGGTCCAACAGGACAGCTCAGAAGAACTGTGGACAAATCACGTATTACAGGTATTGATCAAGTTCAATGTGAGCCTCGTCCTGGCACAAGGAGGTGTATCCGAGCGCTTAATTGAGAAATGCACACACACGAAGCGGCTGGTGATCGGGTCGGTGAGTGGTGACGTGATACAGGCCTTCGCGGAGGCTTCTGGAGCAGTACAAGTGACCTACATTACACAAGTGGCGGAAGACTGCGTGGGCAGTGGAGTCCGTGTGGCCTTCTGGAGAAGCGTCCCCTCGAGTGGAGATGGCGTTGGCAGAATGGCAGTCATGTTGGAGACAGAAGGAATTCATTTGGTTACAGTGGTGCTCACGGGCCCAGTCACTGCACAGACGCAAAGCAAAGAAGATCGGTTCTGGACCTGTGCCTACCGTCTACACTGTGCTCTCAAAGAGCAAAAGGTCCTTCTGGGAGGGGGTGCAGCGGAACTGCTGTGTCTCAGCCATCTTCAAAGTCTCGCAGGGCGCCCCGTGAATGAAGGAAGCCTCGTCTGCTCGGGAGGGCTTCCTAACGCTTCCTCTTGGCTGGCCTCTTCCCTGGCACTCTACAGACCGACTGTGCTTAAATGCCTGGCGGGCGGCTGGCACAGATACCTTTCAACTCTCATGTGCAACACTGCCAGTTCCGCATCAGAATTTGAAGCCAGCACGTTCATTCAGCACCACCTACAGAATGCCACAGACTCCGGCTCGCCTTCATCTTACATCTTGAGTGAATACGATAAACTAAAGAGTGGAATTTTTAATTCGGACATTTCAAACAAACTGGACCAGATTCCAAGAGTTTATGACGTTGTTACACCAAAGATTGAGGCGTGGCGCCGAGCTTTAGATTTAGTGCTGTTAGTACTTCAGACAGACAGTGAAATCATCACTGGACTTGGACACACGCAGATAAAATCACAGGAGGCAGAGGGCCTTTTGTTTTTGTAGTGCGATTGGCTAAGTCTTTGGGAAATAATCTTTGGTAATATAGCATGCTAATAAGTTTTCTAATGGCCAAGTCCCGATGCCTAGAATGCTAGCTAGCTGTCACCAAGAAGAGAGGATTGATGTCTGTCACAACTGTGCAGGGCGGAGGCTTCACAGGTCCGCCTGTTACTGTTCTATGGGATGCTGCAGTGTGCAGGAGACACTTCGGCCAGAGACAAAGGACTTTTATTATCCACAGCAAACGCAGCAACCAGAGCTTCAAGTTGGTTTGTGTCAGTCCCTCGTCCGTGTAAATCCCGCAAGAGCACCACGAAGGGCTGATGAGGGCAGCCTGCACACGTCGTGGGTTGTGTCACAGGAGAGAAACTGTCCTTGGCAAACAGGGTTCTGGACTTTGAGTTTATCATCCGCTCCGACTGACTGCCACAGTCAGGTAGATAACGGCCAGTCAGGACCTTTGGGACAGGCTTCTAACTTGTCGACCACCAGAACGTCATCTATACGGTAGCCCCGCTTATCCGCGGGGGATAAGACCCCCAGTGAACCCCTGAAACCACAGATAGTACTGAGCCCTATATGTGATTTTTCCTTAAAGCAGCCGCGGTCAGAATAGAGGGGGGAGGAGGTATGAGGGGTGTAGAGGGACAGACCCCCTCACGCCGGTGAGCGACGCTTTGCATTTACTTTCGGCTTTGGTCAGCTGCCCTGCTTGTGCTCAGCATACCTGTCTCTTCAGTCTGCGCAGAGTTCTCCTCCCTCTTTCTGACAGCCTTTGCTTCAGCTCCGTGGACCCCTTGGCCTAGGAGCCACGGTCGAGTTTCTTCTCCGCTGGGGCCCTGGGCCTTGCTGCCTTGTCATTATGTAACACCCTCCTTCCCACCCCCGGGTGAGCGAGCACAGCCACGACGCCGGGCGAGCGGCCTGTGTTGACCCATCTCTCACTGCTCAGCCCCAAACACTCCTTAGCAGGTGGGACAGTGGGGGCCCCGTCCCTCTTCTCTTCCCTACCATTTGAGTGGAAGCATTTGCTGGTGGATCTCGGGGAATCCTTTATCTCTTAACTCAGCCCATTTGGGGCCCTCAACTTTTTCAGAAAACCGTGGCTCTGTCAGCCAAAACTACCCAGAACTGCCCAGAATCTGAGCTTTACCCTGTTCACAAGCGAGCAGGTTAGCCTGTTCACGTTTCACGGGACACTGGCAGAAGACATGGAATGCCTGGGTCAGAGACATAGTAGCCAGAGCTTCATGTTGGTTCGCGTTGGTCCCCTGTGCTCCCAAGTCCCACAGGGGTGACAGAGCCCAGATGAATGCCTGCACACATGGCAGGTTGTGTTACAGGAGAGGAACACTGAGCTTGGGCGAGTCACAACTTTTATCGTCAGCGGACGTAAGCCTTTTGTCACATTATCATCCAAGCCCACCCCCAGCAACACATCCCTGAGAACCGGCTGGACGAAGAGCGCTCAGTCCCCGGCAGGAGCGTGCGGGCGCCCGGCCCAGCACAGTCCGCTGCTGCTGACAGCTGAGCATCATGAGGACTGAAGTGTGAGTGTGGCTTTGGGAACTGAATATTAGAAGAGCTCTGGGAAAGTCATATCGTAATTAATTGCCTACCATGTTCTAGGCACTCTTCTAAATTCTTTACATAGTGTATTAATTTGCTAGGTTTGCTATAACGAAGTACCACACACTGAATGGCTTAAACGACAAAAATTTACATTCTCTCAATCCTGGGGCCGAAAAATCTGAGATCAGGGCGTTGGCAGAGTTGGTTTCTTCTGAGGCTTCTCTCCTTGACTTGCAGATGGCTGTCTTCTTCCTGCGTCTGTTCATCTTCCCTCTGTACCTGTCTGTGTCCAAATTTCTTCTCGTAAGGACACCAGTCATATTACCAGTCATATTGGATTAGGACCCTCCCTAACGACCTCATTTTAACTTGTTACCCCTTTAAAAACCCCGTCTCTGAATACAGCCACTTTCTGAGGTACTGGGAGTTAGGACGTCAATGTATAAATTTTGGGGGAGACACAGTTTAGCCCATAACACTTATATTATTTCAATCTTTGCAACATCTGTTTTCTCTATAGGTGAGGAAATGAGCTTAGTATCGTTAAGAAACTTGCCCAGGATCTCACAGAATGCAGTAGACCTAGAATTTTAAGTAAGATTTTATTTGGCTCCAAAGTCTGTATTTCTAAGCTTTAATTGTAATATGAAGTTTTATTTTTTTGTTTTTCCATAAGGTAACAACAACAAAATAAGAAAACAGTGGTTTATTTATAGAGCTAATACATATGTATTAGAAAATGCAATTTGATTATCCTCATGCTTGGGTAAAAGAATATTATTTTTGGTTTCATGGCTATCTTAAATATGATTACATGAAAACCTTGCACAGATAGTCATTCCAATTAAATATACTGTCTTAGTTCAAAGTCCGAATAACAACATTGAGTGTTGAACTGTTTTTAAAAATAAAGTGTATTATTTTACTTGGGTAGATACTGACACTTTTACTCTCCTGTATACTATTAACACTAAGTTTTTGTTAAAATATGATAAAGATTATGAGCGCTACTAATATTAACAGATGCTCAGCTCACTATACAATAGATCTTTTTTGTGAAGTTTGTGTTTGCATAGTTAGTACTACTAAATATTTAGTAAAGTATTGTAATAAATACTTGGAGACTAGAAGTCTTCTAATATAGATGTTTGTTAAGTCACATCGCAGGAGAATAAACTTGGCTTAGTTCTCAGTTCCAGCTCTACCACCTTCTAACCGTGAGATCTCGGGCAAGTTTCTGAACCTTACTAAGCTCATTTCCTCATCTACAAAGTGCAGAAAGTAGATGTTGCAAATATTGAAATAGTATGTGTTATGGGCTGAACTGTGTCTCCTTCAAAATTTATATACATCGATGTATGAATATTGTTTTCTCTAGTGGTTATGTCACAAATATAAATATAAAATTAGCGTCTTGGTTTACAGAGGAATCCTCTGTGAGTTTGGTTAGTATGAGTTCATTCCCCTGATGGAGATCACCTCCCGTTACCCTGGCCAGCGTCTGCGGGCACGCAAAGCTGTGATCACAAAACCCATGCCGTCTGGCACTGCCACCCTGAGAGACCCTGGACCTCTGCGATCCCCACTGCTTCCCTCTCAGTAGATAGAGCCACTTAGACTGGGACAAGGGCGTGAACCAGTGAGCCAAGAACTACCGTAAACGTACACGAGCGATTAATGGCTTTGGAAAGTCCCAGAGGGTGACAGTGAGACTTTTTAAAAACTCCTGTATTTTAGTGACATACCCTCAAACATTTTGAAATACTTTTCAATGAGCCATTCTTAAAAATCTAGTTTCTTTATTTTAAAATGAGTTTTTGCCTGTGACCATTTAGCAATATGTTTTTATGAAGCTTTTTAGACAATGTGGGTCTTTATTTAGAGCAGAAAATGTATTAACCATTTTAAGTGACTCCTGGGATAACAAGAGGCCCTTGTGCAAGCGCAGGCGTGCCCGTTGGCGTGCGCCACGGCGCCTCCCTTCCCGGCTCCTAGACTTGTACGAGCTCTTGCTTCGCGCCTGGCTTTATCGCTGATCAGTTTATTGTACGTTCTGGCACCTTCATTCTCCCTAAATACTTTCATTTATCTCCTCAGAGCCAGGCCCCATTCTTTTTACCTTTTTATCCTGACTATGGCTTGCCTTTTCCTCTTTCCCATTCACACTTCCGTGCTGGGATTTTTTTAACATTCGTCTTTTAATTCTTTCCATTACTCTTCAAGAACATTTGTAGAGGAAACTCTTAGTCTCTTTCCCCTGAAGTCACACCAAGGTAGCCATTATCAGTATTTGGGGTACGGTTTGCTAAAGCCCATTCTGTGTGTGTGGATGTAGATAAGTTTCTTACAATCCGTAAGAGGGACCATACTAAACGTAATGCTATATAATCTACTACTTTTAAGTAACATAATAAAAAGTTTCTCCAATATCATTACGTAAATTTCTGTAGAATAATTTCAGTGGCCTCATGTCTTTCCAGCACAATAACCTACCATGATTTAACTCATTTCCTGTCGGGCGTTTAGTTCAGTCCCAGATTGGGTGCTATTATAAACAAGGCTATAAAAAGTGTATTTGTGGCTGAATCTTTCCTCTAATTCATGATTATATCCTTTGGATAAATTCTTAGAGATGGATATTGGATCAACAGGTGTGTGGACATTTTAGCTTTTCTTATATATTTTTACCAAATTCTTCCAGAAGGCTCTGCAAATTAAAAGTATCATTTTCACAGCCATTCTCAACACTGAATATTATTTTTAAAATTTTGACTAATTTGGGTGAAAATGCAGTCTCATTGTAATAAAACTTTCTTCGATTATTAATGAAGAAAAAGGGACAGTGATGTTTCTTTATATTTTTTAATGTTTTAAAAATTTCTATATTTTCTTTTAATTTTCTTCCTTTGGTGTTATACTGGAAAGGTGTTTGCAAGCCCAAGGTTATACTGCGATCTCCTGTATAGATTTCTAGCAGTTTTATGTGCTTATTCATCTTTCACATTTAAATATTTAGTCCAGCTGGAATTCATTTTAGTAGACGACATAAGACGCTAAAAGAACTTTTTCCAAACGGTTACCAGTTGTCCCGACATCATGCTAGGGTTTTCGTTGCCCACTCAGATCTTCCTTAGCAGTGAAGAGGAAATACCAAAAGAAAAAGACAGATCATGTTCTCAGTTGCTAAGGAACATTTTCATGTCTTTCTAATTACGGATTCATACCAGTGTTCTGTCATTCTTTTCTGCTACTGTAGCACCATATTGGACTGAAAAAAGAATATAGAGAAACTTGTCACACTAACAGTAAAGAGAACAAAGGCAGCGCCCTTTATAAAAGTCTTCCTGTACTATACTGAGAGCTACTGTCCCAAAAAAGTGTTTTAAAACACACTTTTGCTTCATAAGGGTCATCGGAACTTTACTCTCAAAAACCTAAAAGATTTCTTCTTTCTTTTGACCTGTAGGAGGCAAACTTCCACTCTTATGCTCTTAAAAATTTGACCTGGTTTATAATCCACAAAATGAAAGGTGAAATTATTTTAGTGTGAGCGTGAATATAAGGGCAAGAAAAGTCAAAGATAGTTCCTTTTTCATTATTGTAGGCTTTGAGATGGTCAGAATCCCAACTCTGCTATTAACTTGCTGTAATTCGGGAAGGGGATCCAGGTTTTCTTGGCCTCTGTTGTCTTAGCTTTAAATCATAAAGATTAGTGAAGTTGTCGCTATTATGCTTTCCAGCTCTGAATTTTGTGATTCTTGTTACCAGTTGAATCCCTGACAGATTTTGAGTGATGGTGAAACTCATTTGAAAGGGGTCAAACATGTTAAAAAGCGCTTCTTAAAAGATTACAGTGAGAAGACTAGACTTTAAAATTGATTGTGGAAACTTTAATACATGATGTTTATGACATTGGGGGTTCAAAATTGGCCAACTATAGATTCAAACTATTATAATAACTTATTTTATTGCCAACCCAAAAGTAATACAGTAGAGAATGAAATTATCCAATGATATGAAAGAGAATTAATTTATATCTATTGGCACCGCAGCCATATCAGTAGTTTACAGTGGGTTCAAAAGTAGAATATAAACTATAAATTGGCAAGAAACCAGAATATAAAATATAAAACCTGAAGAAACCAGAATAACATATGTATCTCTCTTGTGGATGGGTGATAAGTTAGTGGATATTAAAAAAGAGAAGCTATTAAACACAAGATACATTTTCCCATACTACGAGATAAAAATGTTTTTGAATGACAGAACTAAATGTGATACAGTATTAAAAGTTTACTATTTTAAAATGTGTCAATACGTATAATCCAGGCAGCAATGGGGGCATCTCCCTCAACTCGAGTAAACCTCACCCAAATCTTAGTTTCAGTAACTCCAATATCAAAATCCTTCTGAGGATTTTATTGTGCCCCACCGACTTTTGAGATAAAAATGTTTTTGAATGACAGAACTAAATGTGATACAGTATTAAAAGTTTACTATTTTAAAATGTGTCAATACGTATAATCCAGGCAGCAATGGGGGCATCTCCCTCAACTCGAGTAAACCTCACCCAAATCTTAGTTTCAGTAACTCCAATATCAAAATCCTTCTGAGGATTTTATTGTGCCCCACCAAACACATACACACGCACAATCTTGCTCCAATAATGCATGGCAAAGCAGCTTTATAGTCGTATTACAGACGAGTTAGAGTAGAAAGTACCTGAAAGATAAAGCTCAGTGTTGGTGAGCACGTAGGGGAGCATGTACTTAGTGCATTGCTGGAGAAAATGCAAATCAGTTCAACTGTAAATTGTTAATGCTATTCTAAAAAAATGGAAGCAAACCAAATGTTCCATAATGGGGAGTATTTGGACAAATAGGATATATTAATATGATGGAATGAGTACTGTGCTACTTTTAAAAATGCCAAGTATACATTTTACTCTGACACATGAACAAGTTTATAAATAGTGAGAAAAAAACAGAACTCAAGATAATGTTAACTTTATGGCTATGTAAAAACAACAACAAAGATGGGAACCTAGAGAAATCTAACTTGAATGCTTATTAATTCATAAAGTTACAATTTTTAGAAATGACAATAATTCTAACTAGTAGTTATAATTATTCTGTTTTGTGTTTTGTCTCTATACACACTAAGACCAGTTGTTCAAGCCTAGTTGAATTGATTTTAATAATTTGAACTATATCCAAATGTTTTTTTTTTCCTTTTAGAACTACTTTAAGTCAGATTTTTCTAATGCACTAGTTGAATTGAATCTAGGAATAAATTAGATATCTTTAAAAGTTTATTACTATGTGACATTCGGCACTGCTCAAAACTGTCAAAATTATAAAAAGTAAAATCTGAGAAACGGTTACAGCCAAGAGGACCATAAAGAGACATGAGACTAAAAGTAACGTGGTGTCCTAGGTGGATTCAGAATAAAATATGGACTCCAGTTAATAATTACGTATCAGTATTGCCTTATTAGTTTGGGTGTACCATACTACTATAGGAGGTAAATAACAAGGGAAACGATGTGAAGGTGGGGATGTGGGAATTCTCTGAACTATTTTCACAATTTTTCTGTACACCTAAACAATTCCGAAATTAAAATTTTATTTTTAAAAAATATATTAGTATATTCAGACAACAGTAACACCATCTAATGTATTGAACTAACGTACTACATAACCAAACTTTGTTTTCTGTTCGTGTCTGCCTGACAAGGTGAAAAATTCCCAGGTCGTGTCTGTGGTCATGCAGTGGATCTGGAGAACACTCTGGAAACAGAAGCTACTCTTCGGTCGCGAGGAGGACGCCTTGTTAAGAGCGGAGGCTGTCAGAGCAGCGGGACCGGTCGGAATTCACTCCAAGGGCGCAAGGCCACCCGACTCTGGCTTCTAACAGAACATTCGTACTTATCAACATGCAGAGTCCTAACTATCATACTCTAACGTGTAGTAAAGTCTACTTCAGGCTGTTTTGAGGTTTCCTTCTCTGAATTTTTTTCCTTTTCCATTTTGTTTGCCATTTTTCTTGGCAATCGCCTTTTTAAAAATTTCCAGTGTGTTTATCTGGTGATGTGAAGAACACTCTTTGTACACTGTCCATTACGAATGAAAGGCAAATTGGGAGTTTCACAGTTTGTTGACAGTATTGAGACTGGTTTGATGTCTAAAAAAAGGAGACCGGTTTCCTGTTACCCTCAGAGAAGGAGGTGGAAAAGGCTGCTTCCCAGTAGGTTCCGCTCTGGACCGTCAGCACACGAGAAGGAATGGGCAGATGTGTGGACTTCCCCTCATCACTCTCACTAAATATGCTTTAAAATCATTTCTTTTTAACATATTACAAATGTTTTAAGTTAGCGTGTGTGTTTTCTTGTTTAAAAGCAGTATAAACCCCTGTTGACAAAGCCGTTTATTTTCTTAGGAGTAATTATTGGTGCCCTGCAGTATCTCTAAAACTGCCTTAGGAGAAGCACATGGGCCACTTGTCAAATGCCGACTCCCAGCCCCACCTCAGGTTACCGTTTGTAGTAGCTCTTAACCCTGGCCACACAAGAGAATCATCTGGAGAACCTTTAAAACTGCCAGTGCTCCAACCTACTGCAACCCCCAGATTGCCATTGATCTATCTGGGATGAGGCCCACGTATCAGTGTTTAACTCCCCGTGGATTCTGCTGGTGTGTAAGCAGCATCGAAATCACCAGTCTTGTGTGTGGAACCAAACTTAATTAGAAAAGCCTGTACTTTACTCCTTAGGCCCTATTCAAAAAATGTTGGCTTCCGAACATGCGACGGTCACATGACTCTTACAAGCATAAGGCTGAGCGAGAGAAGCCAGAAACAAAAGAGGACAGACGTACCGATGGGCCTGACCCCGAGCAGGTACAGGGTCTTGGGGGAGGACGGGTGAAAATGGTCCGGGGTGAGATAAAGCGGATGGTTGCACAACACAGTGTGGTGCAAACCGTGGGCGCATACGCTGCGAAGTGGAGAATTTTATGTTGTGCGGCGGATATCTCGACTTTTCAAATGCCACTGAGACAGAGAAGATGCGGTTTAACCATTTTTTGTGAATTCTAGAAACAGAGACTCACCATTGATAGAAGCCGGGTCAGCACTTAGCCTCGGGGCAGCGATGGCAGGGTTCTTGTTCCCAGGGCGGATTCCCCACGGGCTCATTCATTGTTGAGCATAATATTCATGATCTGTGCTTCGGGAAAACTAAGTTGTCAAGAGAAGATTAAAAGATATTCAGGCTCCTGCACTTGAGAATGCAGGAAAGAATCTATCTTAACCTATAATAAAAGCAACTCTAATGAGACAGGAAGGTAATGTTAGACAGTAGAGGTCGTGTACTATTGGGATTGTTTACCAAAGACGCCCGTAGAATCTGCCCTCGGGATCCGCCGAAGGAAGACTAGCCCGGCTGTAAGATCAGGTCTGTTTTGGAATGCTATCTTGTAGTAACTGGCCAGATAATGTTTTGAGACTTAATCCAGTTCTTTGGGTCTACATTTAATTTATATTTACTTTTTATTCTAGGAAATAAAAAGACAAAAGAAAAACTAAGAGAATCTCAGGTTCTTGTATCAGGATTCTTGCCAGAGAGAATTAGCTAATTCATATATTATTTTAGTCATAGCAAACCTTATTATAATCTGTTTCACCAGTCATCAAAGTGAATTTCCTAAGCTCGACTTAATTTTCTTTTATATTGTTGCCAATAAATTTTTATTAATTGCCATTAATATGCTGGTCATCGTAGACCCCTTCCTTTCTCCCCTCGCTTCTTGCTTTTCCAGGCTCCATGAATTTAGTCGTTTCCCACTTACTTTCTTCACAAGCTCCAGGGTTTCATCACTTTATTACTCTTCTTATATTTCTGTAGCTCTACTCATATTTTTAAGACCTTTGGTTTCCAGAAATGACTACAGTATTGTGAGGTTCTGGAAAACATCTTCTTCCTTTTGTAATCATGTTTGTATGCTAAAACAACATGTTTCGCCGTTGACCCCTCTGGTTCCAGGATTACGTGTTTAGAATTGAGTCAGTTTAGCATTGCCACTGATTTCATAAGCTGTTTTGCATGCAATCTATTCCCTTTGAAATCTGTTCGCGCATTTCCAGAACTCCTTATTCCATTAGCCACTTACAGACCATGACTTTATAGTCTAACATCTAAGGCGTATTTATTTTACAAAGAAAACAAACATTATTTAAAATTTGCTTTGTTCTTGAGAGGTCAAAGGAATTTTTTTTAGGTTCTTTTCTCCAATCTCTTCATTTTATAAATGGGGAAACTGAGGCCTAGAGAAATCCATAGAGTTAATTACTGATAAAGCCAGTTTTCTTCCATAATTCTTTCTTGCTTCATTGTATTTAATTTGCATCTTTATTCCTAAACAATATTTTTAACATGTAGGCACACTGAGCCCCGTTTAATTTCTTTAAAACTTCTAAGTAAACCATTTAGCTCATTTTCATTACCAGACGTTCAAGCTAACTAGCCCAGCACCATTTAAGACGTTGTGTTACCTCAACTCTGAGAGCTTCCTCACAGCAAAACAAACCTTTTTTGTTGTCACTGTTGGTTTTTAATGTATTGTTTCGTTTTTTTCCACCCTTACTGAATTTTCCAAATTGAACTGCTCCAAGTAAAGACCCACCCCTTCACATCCACACACTGTTTCCTTTTCCAGGTGCACGCTGGTTAATAACAGCCGACAGATGCTGAGCGCCGTGTCGATTGTCCCCATTTTATTGACGAGGTAACCGAGGCCCAGAGGTGTTCTCCATGGCAGAGCAGATGAGACCTGGGCTTTCTTATTCTTATGCAAGACCTAGCACTTAACTTTTTATAGATTCCTTTAATAAATTCTTTTTTTTTTATGTGTTGCCAAGCAGGGAATTCTAGGTTGTAGATGGCAGCTAAATGGTTTTATAGCTAAATTATCGTCGCCATAGTCTATGGGGGGAAATTTGGAACCTCCATTTTTTATTTGTTCATATGTTGGAAAATGACCTAGCACGATTACACCAGTCAGCTGTTGCCGTGTAACAAACAAGTAACCGCAAAAAATCCCGGTGGCATTTAACAAAAGCATTTGTTTTGCTTGTGGGTCTGTAAAGTGGGTAGGCAGTTCTGCCACTGCCTGCAGGGCCTGGCTCTGCCTCAGGATAGGTTGGGACGGCTCTGCCTAACATGTGTTTATGTGGCAGCCCATAATAGGGGCAGCTACTACCCAGAGTAAGTTCATCTCATGGTGATGGCATAGGCGCAGAAGAACAAGCAAGACAGGCAGGATTCTTGAGGTCTGGATTTGGAACCTGCGTCCTGTCACTTCCGCCCCAGCCCATGGAATAGCCGAGTTCACTTTCAGTAGGAGGAACTACTAAGTCACAGGTCAAGCTCCAAGTTATGATAAGAGGTGAAGAATCGAAGCCGGTGATGCTGTCCACCACGAGAGCGTCTAAAGAGCCGTGGCCTATGGGCAGACACTCCCCAGTCTCACCTCCACAGAGGGCGTGTGGCCTGGTTAGACTGCCCCTTCTCATAGGGACGGAATTCCCTTAGCTGGCTGGCTGGCTGATTCCTCAAACCATGAAAAGGGCATCTGCCTGTTAGTTACCTAACAGTATATCCTTGACTTCTGTGCTGCCTCATAATTATAAAATCTCAGTTTGGAAAACCATATTTGTGGAAGATTTTCTAATGGATTATCTGTTCCTCATAATAGTCGTTAAGCTCTCTGACTCCACTGAAGAAAAGGAAATAGTTTATGGACCTAATTATTAATTAAGGTTGACATTGGTATGCTGTACACATTTCAGTTTTTGAAGAACTGTGGAAGAATTTTCTCCTGGCTCACAGAAACAATAATTTTCTGGTCTCCTGAGAAATTGGCTTATTTTTATCTTACAGTCAGTGTAATGTAACTGATTATCTTTCCATTCTTAATTGGCCACTAGGAAGCTCTGAGGCAAATTTGCAAACAATCTTTACTGGAGCACAGAGCCTACCGTGGTATATAGTGTAGCCATTTGTGTCAGACTTTGACATATTTAGCTTCAAGTGGGTTAAAACATATGAAGTCCTTAGAAGTGCTTGGCACATGCTCTATATGTTTGCCATTATTATTGTTGCTGCTGTTGTTATTATTAGCTGGATATAATTAAAGTGAGAGAATAATATATGTTTGCCATTATTATTGTTGCTGCTGTTGCTGTTGTTATTATTATTATTAGCTGGATATAATTAAAGTGAGAGAATAGGATCTTAATATCTGACCTCCTATTTCATTTTGGAATAAAAAGTGCTGAATTTGTCTGCTGCTTTTCAAGACTTGTAATCGCATTACCTAATTGGTAAGCAGGCCAAGTATTGGATGGAGAAATTTCATTCTCCTTTGGCTCAACTAATATTTAACTGATTAAGTGTAAGCTTTTATTGTTTGGACCAAAATAAATTTCCACGTCTTGCCAAGAACACTTCATCAAAGACGGGGGTAAATGTTACAAAAGAATGGGCAAGAGATTGGGACTCCCTAACAGTCTGACGGGGTGGGGGTCGGGGAGGACGAGAGCCCAGCAGGGAGCTCCCTTCACCACGGCTGGCGTTTGACCTCAGCTGGCCCGCAAACTCCCTTCCCTCCTGTGTTCAGTGGCTGGGAGAACTAAGGGGTAGGGTGAGAGCGAGGAGTGAGAATCAGGGCTGATGACCTCATTGACAAAGGCACTGTCCCCACAGGGTCTCCTGCCGGGAACTGACCAGGGCTCTCCCAAGAGCTGGATGCTCCCCTGCCTCGGTGCTGCCCACAGACAAGAATCAGAGCCGAGAACACAACTGTCAGTCCCCAGCCCTCCAAGTCTTGTCCAGAAAGAAGGACTCAAATAGTCCCCTGCTAAATGGAGCAAGGAGTCAGGAAAAATTTCGTCATCAATCTGGGGCTAATTCTGTTACTCAAAATGACAGATTTTGATGAAAGGAAAGCTGAATAAAAATTTTAAAAAAGAACATAGCATGCAAAAGACTCTTGAAAAATGTATACTGGAAGAAGACTATCCAGGATACAATTTCAGGTAATAAGTTACAAATTTATGATAAATTAAAAATTTGAGTAATTAAAAATACACTCTAAATTAAAGAGTATATTCACAGTAAGGAGTCTACAAATATTTTATATCTCAATGAAGAAAGTATGGGGAAAAGCAGTAAAATGTAGATAATTAAAATGATGTTAAAGTGTAGTCTAATTATCTACATTAAATTATAGATTAACTAAATTACATGTAGATAGTTGGTTTTTTAAAGACAAAAATAATGCCATGCAATTTTTTATGGGAAACAGTTGGCAATATCTATAAAAATGCCAGTAGGAGGACTTTATCCTTTGTGTGATATGTGTATAAAATGTATGTAAAGTTACATATATATAAAATGATGTATGTATGAGATTATTTATTGCAATATCATTTATGAAGGTATAATATTGGAAATAACATAAATGCCCATTAATTGGAGACCAGCTAAATAAATTATGACAATGGATACGTTGGAATATGCAGCCATTAACGAGAATGAGGCAGACCTTTTTATGATAATCATGTCATATAATACAGCTCCCCAAGGTACGATATGAAGGAGGTATGGATGGGAGACCGTGGAGTACTACCATTCATGCCAAACTATTATGTGTTTGCTCCTTTAAAAATACACACCTCTGGAAGGATCCACAAAAAATGGCAAAAGCGCTAGCTGCTAGGTGGACTGGGTATCAGGTAGATGGATGTGGGCAGGTTTGTATCTTGAGTTCCTTCTGAAGTTGATGTCGTATGCATTTAAAGTCATTAAAACTAATATTAAAGGAATAATAAACTCATCTGAAACAACAAGGAGCAAATTTGACACAGATGGAAGCAATCTGCGATACAGAGAACAAGCTTGAGAAAAATCATGAGAGAAGAAAGTCAGTCCAAAAAGGAGTGGAAGACCGATCACGAAGATCCAACCCAGACACACTGTTGCCAAAGTGTATATACTATGATTCTAATTTTTAAAAATAAAGCTACACGTACAGACCCCTTTGCTTATGTTTGGTGATTATCCACTTACACATAATTGTGTAATAATAGCACTTGCCGTGTCCCAGGCACTGTTCTGAGTGTGCCCTGTGTGCCTGTGCTGCTCTCACAGCGTCACGAGGTGGGTGTCAGCCCCACGTACGGATGGGACTCCACGGCACTGAGGTCAGCTTCTTGCCCCACAGTCGTAGCTGGTAAGTGACGGAGCTGAGAGTTGCACCCAAGCAGTGTGAGTCCCAAGTCTGCCTTCTAAGGTCATGCTACCTCCCGTCATATACAGAAAAACGTATGGCGGGATAAGCAGCAGTCGGCCACTATCTGGAGAACTAAACTTGTTGGGAATTTTTATTTTCTATATTAATATGTTTATATCATTTCAAGTTTTATCATAAAATACTGCTTTTGTAATCCCCCCCGCCCCGAAAAATAGCTACAAATTGAAGAGGAGCGTAAAGCAGTAAGCAAATATGTGAGACCACTCTCCCTAACTCACCCTTGTTAGCAGGAGTTTTGTAAGAAACCGTGTCTTTGTAAGAAATCCACAGAGCCTGTGGATTTCCTGCACGTCCATATTTAGGCTTTGGTTAGCTAGTTTGTAAAGCTCTCTGGTTGTACTTTGCTTCCTGTGGCACTCTCTTTAAACAGTGTTCCAGGTGTTGTCCCTCCAACCTGCAGTTTAGACCCCTAAACTGCTAGGTTCTGGCCCCTATGTATGTGTATGCAGTTGAACCTCGCTGAGCTCTCGTCAGCATCAAAACTAGCCTGGATATTGGGCCCTGTCGGCAAGGATTACTCTCGTACCTTTCTCATTTCAGTTAAACAAGACCAGCGTCCTGGTTCAGGCTGCTGTAACAGAATCCCATAGACTGGGTGGCATGTAAGCAACAGAACCACACGTCTCACAGTTCTAGAGGCCGGGAAGGCCACGAGCAAGGCGCTGGCACATCTGTCGTCTGGTGAGAGCTTGCCGCTGGGTGCATAGATGACCATCTCGCCGTGTCTTCACATGGTGAAGGGGACCAGGTATGTCTCGTGGTCTCTCTTATAAGGGCACTAATGCCATTTGTGAGATTTTCACATTCATGACATAATCCCCTCCTGAAGGCCTGACCTCCCAATACCGTCACCTTGGGGATTAGGATTTCAGCATCTGAATCTGGGAGAGACACAAGCATTCGCTCTGTAGTAAGCAGCATAGATCTGTGGAGGTGAGCCTTCCGAGAGCCCCAGCACTTCCCGACCACCTTTCCGAGACATCCGGACTGAAAGCGATGCCGTCAGTTACCCTCCCCTGCTCGCAATCCCTACGTTACAGTGCGGTTTTTATAATACTTTAGTACAAGTGCGATAGAAGTGGATGATGCTGTGCCGTGCCGTCACGTCAGTGCACGTGAAGCAGCTTGCACTGGCACATACCAGACGTGTACAGATGTCTGCCGGTTAGCGGTGACGGGCACAGACGCTGGAGTTTACGCTCTCCATGGGACATCGTCTGCAGGGCTGGGTCCCTTGTGCCTGAAGACTCCTGGTGCCGATGGCATTCGCTCCTTCACAATGACAGGATATTGTTTAGTAAGACACTAAGGCTTACATGCAACATTTAAAATGATTAAGAACAAGCAATTATAAAATCTTAGGAGCATCTTTCCCTCTCAGAACCTAGACCTCTGCCGAGAGCCTAGACCTTAACCGTTAAGATAATGGTGGAATGAAGAAATCTCCTTGATGCTGGTCTCAGCCAGCTTTCTTCAGGTGTAGTAACTGCCATTAGTGGCACGCAGCGAGAATGTAGGAAGACAAGGAGCAGCTGCAATCGCTGTAGGTGTAACAACGGCTCTGTCTGTGTGGATGGGGGTCCCAGCCTGAACTTGAAGTATGTCCACCCTCTCCCACCGCTGGGTTGTCAGGAGACCGCGGGAGTCTGGCTTGGAACAAGCCCCGTGTCCCGAACGTGCCCAGACACGTGGGGCAGTGAGTGCCACCCGCTGCGGAACGTCAGTGCACGTGATGACGCGGCTGTCTGCGTAACGTGGGCATGAAGGAGAGAGGTTTTTCTTTTACTTTCTTCAGTCGACCCTTAATATGCATAGTCGTCTCTGTGTTGCCAAAAGTTTAGAAATTACAAAAAGCTGCGGGACAGAAAATGAGCTCCTGGTTGGCCCGGTGTCCTTAATGTCGCAGCCTGATGCGTTAACCCTGTATTCTGTCCTTTTACTTCTGGAATCGGGTGCTTGTTCCGCCGTCTGACGACTAAGAGTCGTTTTTAAAGTATAATAGTACAAGAAGACACAGACCAGAAGAAAGCATTGCACATGTGATTTCCTGTTTATAGATTTGCAAAGTCCATTAGGACACTGATTAAATGATTAATGGGGAAGTATGAAACATATCTAAACAATGTGCTCATTAAAGTTTTTACAGAAACGCATGGAACAGCTTGCTCCAAAGTGTGACTTGGAGGAAAACATCCTACTGCACCCATCTATGCACACGCAGGACAAACCCGAGCTGACGATGGGTGGATGCCATTGTTTGCATCCATCGAGAAAGAAGTAGCAGTGTTAACACTTCATTTAAAGATTTTTCCAAAATATAATACTGGGATGCTGAATTTTTTAAATGACAGCATATTACGTGTCAAATTGTCCAATAACACTTCAGTTTCTCTTTCTTTATAACCTCACCCGCAATTCTCTGTTTGGTTTTTCTACCAGATTTTGGAAATAAACATGCAAGAAATTCACCAAAATTAAACCACCATCGTTTTCCTCTTTCTCACCTCAAGCAGGTGCTGACTGCTTCCCTTTTTCTCAATGTTTCTGGTATGTGGAGTGAAGGGCTTTTGGAATTTCAGTGTTTGGAGTTTTTTTCTCTAAAGCACAAATTAATCTTGTATAATCTGTCCAAGAATTTCTATATGATAGTTTCTAATCTGATTAAGAGTGTTTTATGTATGCACAGATAATTCAAAGAAAATTAGTAGCGAATACCCATTATCAATAAAATAAGAGAAGGACAAATCTACGTTCCCCCCCCCACCCCACGTCATCTATAGCAAATATGGCAAAAAAGTTCTGTGAAGCCTTTAAGGAAGAAGAAAGAAAGAAAAAGAAAAGAAATAGATGATTTCCAAGCTTAGAAGATTTTTGACTTCGATGAAGCTGTAATATAACTAGTTCAAGGGAACACAGATTTAAAAGCAATTTTAAATGTTGGAAAACAAGCTGCGTTTCCATGAGGCTGCCGTTGGAACATTTACCGATGCCAGTTCCTGCTTTTAGAGCACATTGCGTCCTCCATTACCAGCCCCTCAGGCGACCTGCTGCAGTCTACCTTAAGGTTCGTGCTATTTCTTTTCCCCAGACCAAAAAGAAAAGAAAAAACTTGTTGCCAAATGAAAATTTTTATTAGATATACTATTCCCCAGCTAGTTTTTTTCTTGTTGCCCAATTACGAGGATAAACAAGTAATTTCTTCCGGGTTCTGTGTCTGAAATGCTTCCTCGTTGTGAAGAACAGAAAGACGCTTTGTCTGAAGTGCTTTTTATCATACAGAGACTCATACAAATGTAAGTCGACATCATTACCAAAATCACTTGGTGATATGTAGTTTTTCCTTTGGTTTTAATTTCTGTCTTTTATCCCATCATTATTTTCTAAATAGTCAAAGCTGCTATATTGGAATTATAATGTTATTTGGTTAGGTTGAAAATGTTAAACGTTTTTGGTTTTGCCTTTAGGTAAAACTAACAAAATATTCTACATTGGAAATTTTTACTCTAGATTGAGGCTGGTGTGTTGAAAAAGATTAGAAAACACAATCTAACGATCTCATTTTCTAAGAAGTAGTTTTTCCCCTCAGTTTTCAGTGATCAACCGGCTGCTTTTACTGTAGCTGTCAAAACGGCCATGGAAGTAAAACGCCGTAGCGTGCGGGCGTCACGCATAAATCTCGTCTTATACTTTCCGGCTGTTCAAGCTGTGATGAAAGTCAGAAGAAAGAAGTCGGTGGTCATAGGAAATGATTTCTTTTCTTCGTGTTTATAAACAAAGATGTCCTTCAGGAAACAGAGTGTGTGCAAAAGATGGCAGAGAAAACAAGAACAAATTGTGTCTGTTCTGTTTTTGGCCTGTGTCCCCTTCCTAGGGGGTCCTGTTTATAGCAGTACTACAGCAAGGACACGTTTTATATATTAAGCATGTAATCTGCATGCCTATCAATTTTTTTCTGGTTTATCAAAACACGTTTCATACCATGCAGACGCGCCTTACTCCTGACGTTTCGCCTGACTGTTGCTTCAGAGTTTCATTACGATATCCTAACCTAATTTTTATCATCAGCCTAAGTAAAAATAAGAAGGGAAGAAGTAAACCCATTTTTTAAAAAACATAATGCGTTACAAATAATAAAAAGGATTTGGGGGTTCACAACAATCCATGTCCCTGGGATGGACAATTATGGGGGCTCTCAGGTCACGAATACTAACCAGAACAGAGACATGTTCACAAAACAGACCATTTCATGGGGAGTTATGGGTCCTTCGTGTATCTTCTTCAGTTTTTGCTCATCTGGAGGAGACTAGCATGGAGGAGCCAACACCAGTAAGAGAATGTTCTACATCCGACACTGTATCCCTTCCTCTGACCGCCCACTTTTCCTAAATCTGGGCCATTTTTGTTCTCTTCACCTTTAAAAACCCATCAAGATGAACTTACCTTAGAATCCACATCGAGCCTGAAGAGTTGCAGAATATGCCACCCCAAGATATGCCACTTGGTTATTTTGAGCTAAAAGCACTAAAAAGCAGTAGACGCAAGAAGGCTGCTCAGATCTCCCCTCTTCTCCCTGAAAGCAGGAGATAAAGCTCCCACGTGAAAGATGCGCCCCCTACTCCTGGAGGAAAGGGACGTTCTCGTCACCAGAGCCCAAGAGAAATCTGTACAACAGACCTCGTTAAATAACTCCCAACTTCCGTTAGTCTCCACGTGCATCTCAGCTCCTTTTCCGCAGTCACCTCTCTCTGTCCAACCTAGTCCCTAAACTCAGACCCAGCCGCGTCTCTGGCGCTTCATTCACCTGTGAAGGCTCCGTGTACGTGTAAAAATAAAACCTGTATACTTTCCTCCTGCTAATCTGTTTTATGTCTACTTAATTCTCAGGCCCAGCTGGAGACCCTAAGAGAGTGGGGGAGAAGTTTTGTTGCCCTCCAAGGCCAGTGTAGGTGTGACGTCATGGCTCATTCTTTTAAACTAATTTTTCTTTTTAGCTGGCTGATCATCTGCTCCATCTGGAATGAGTATTCCTAAGGTTAGGATTGTGGCAATCACAGCGCTCATCTTCGAAACGAGCCTACTTACTTTCTGTTTCTTGCTTTTACTTGACTTCCTGCCTTGGGTGGGCATGAAAGCAGGAGGCACTCGAGCAGGAAGTGCGATAAAGGCTTTCAAATAGCACAGTGCAATAAAATGAAACATGCATACAGTTTCCCACATGGATGTTGTATATGTCAACAGTCAACATTTCCGTTAGTAACCCGTGATGGCCTGCTTAACGTTTTTATTATGCAAAAGTGTTTTTTCTAGAAAAATCACTATTAAATTTTTTTTTAAATAAGGAAAGAGACATACTATCTATGTTTTAAGCAAAAGATTTTATTTTTGTAGGCAATTATTTTTAATGATTTAAATTTTTTCAGACTGTGAGTGCTTTCTTACTCATTATAATTCTCATTTAAAGGATCGGCTTATCCTGAACTATGTTACAGAAAAGAAATGGAAAAATTTCATGAAAAAGTAAGTATTGCATATGTTATACGAAACCCCTGCATTTCTAGTCATCACTTGCTGTATTAAACTGAGCATGCAGTGAAGCTAATAGGAAACATTTGGCTTGAAACTTTTTATTGACTTTGACCAACTAGTACCATTTTCCCTTAATATATTTACATTGGTATGAACCATATGTAATAAACCAAAAAAATATGTTTTAGATTATTTTTAAAGCTGGAAATTGAATTATAAAATTGTAACACTTAATAAAAATAAAACAGAAACTTGGAAGAAAATTAAATAGAATATGAACTAAAGTAAAAAAATATCAAATCAGTTTTGTCATAGTGACAAAACTATCAATTGACAAGGCAAAATTGGCATCACTAGCCAAATCGTATGCATCTTGAATTCATTTGTAGTGTGGAAGTTAATTCAGTTCTTCAGGCCTCGCTCCTCTCTCTCTCTCTCTCTCTCTCTCTCTCTCCCCCCCCCGCTCCCGCCCCGCCCCCTCAACTTCTTTGTGCCCAATCTACAAGGGAACATTATTTCTTGGCTCGATTATTTTCAACAAATGTGTTTTGAATGCTCTCTCTGTAGTAACTAGTCACATTGAGAGTTATCAAGGTAAGTAAGATTGGTCCTCCAGGAGCTTACAGGATAGTGGAAGGAATAAATTATACACACAAACAATTATAATACAATGTGGAGTCGAATAAATACCATAATTGAGGCATCCGATGGTAGAGTGTTTGAGAGACGTCATTTTGCTTGGGGAAACCAGAGAAGTCTTATGGGAAAAGTGTCATTTAGTGTGGGCTTTGCAGGGTGGTGAGATTTTTCTAGAAGTGATGGCAGAAAGGCTGGGAGGACGGATGTGAAACCAGCAGCATGAGCGGAGGCACAGACACAGCCACGGGCAGAGGGGTTATGAGCACGTCGTCCTGTCCAGCTGCTGTGAACACAGTGGCGAGGAGCTGGCGGGGCAGGAGGGCGGGAGAAGCCAGTGGAAACCCGTGCTTTATACAGGGGACATGCAGCTCCCTCGGAGGTTCTGCGGGAAGAGTGTGGCGCCCCAAGAAACAGTGCAGGAAAATGGCTTTCAGAGGAGGCCAGGTTCGACTGTAGCCACGGAGTGGGGCAGTGGGCCTTTGCGTTGCCCAGGTTAGCAAAGGGGGCAGTGGATATGGACGAGAGGACACAAAGCCAGAGGCATTTCAGCAGCAGAGTCTTTAGGACTTGGTAATCAGAAGAACTGAGGAGCTAAAGGTGTCGGTTACCCCTGGGTACAGCCAGGTGACAGACAGAAGGTGACATTGAGCTAGCTTAGAAAGTTCACAGAATCCTAGGTGGGGCTGAAACCCAGCCCAACTGGAGTCAGGGACCCAAATGCCAGCAGGTCGGTCATCTTCATCCCCCCTGCAGGCTGAGGCCAACCTTTCCTCCTACAGAAGGACGTTTCCACGTGGCATACGTGGCCACTCACGTCTCCTGAGGCTTATGTCTAGCTAGAGGACGGTAGCCCAGCGATGGAAACCCTGGTGCTTGGCTCCAGGCTCAAGCCACCGGCCCCCAAAAGTGGCTGCTCACAGGCACACCCGGTCTGCCCTTGACCTGACCACCGAGGCAGGGGAGAGGGCGGAGTCCTGTGACGCTGTGGCCGTGTGCCTCGGCGGGGACAGGTCTCAAAGAAGCAGAGCTGGCAGACAGAGAAGCCTCTCGAAAGCTGCTGAACAAAGACAAACCCAGTGTATCAAGCCACAGGTGAGTCACCGGGCAGTAACCATGTTCGAGGGCCGGGGCGAGTCTGACTTGGACTGGTGCAGTTTGTGCTGACGCCTCGCGGGGGCGCACCTGGCCGCCAGGTGTGTGGGAATGCGAGGCCTGTGCGTCCACATGGAGGCCGAGTTTACCCAGGAGTCACACTCGAGGCGGGGGCAGTCGGAGCGAATGGGTGGATGTCCCTCGAGCATGGCGGGGGCACCGCAGATGGAGCAGCGGGGCAGTGCTCGGCGGAGGGCCACGGACGGGAGCTCGCGAAAGGCCTCTGCGTATGGAGGGCAGAAAACGGGAAAGGCAGGCATGACGGGAGCAGAGAGGAAGCCACCAGGAAAAGAGGAAAAGGGTCCACGGACAAGAGCACTGCGAGATGAAGTGGTGACAGCGTCTTCCTCACGGCAGAGGAGAAGAGGCGGAAACGACCTAATTAGAAGGTCCCCACTTTTCAGCAAAGCTCTGCCTCCAGTTCGCCAGTTCCCCAGGAAGTCGGTCTCCCCTCTGGGCCGAGGTTCTCTGGGGCGTCCTGTGCCCTTCGCCACCGTCTCCATCCTGCTTTGTGGCCTGGCAGGCGACCTGTATGGGATTCGCAGGAGGCAGTGGGAGGGGCGCGGTCAGGGGTCATTCTCGGGCCTGCCTCTCTGCAGGGTCTGGGAAGTTAGCCGTGGCCACCACCGGACCCCAGCTCCTGGCAGCTGGCAGAGCCAGGTTCCAGGACCTGCTCGCTCTCCTTGCTCCTGGACACCTGGAGGGTGATGACCCCCACGGTGACCGCCTTCAGGGTGGCAGGGTGCGCCGGCTTCCTTCAGCCCCACTTGGTTTCCGTGAGTGGAGTATCGAAGTCTCTTGCAGTCACCCACTTTGAGATGCCACTTATTTTTTGCAGGACCTGCCCGCCACCACCATCCTTTGGCAGACAGGTGTCAGCTCCCGCGCCTGGTCTGGGCTGTGCGTGGTGGACGGGTGGTGGCTGAGCGGCCGGACGCGGAAGGGTGGCTCTCCTGCCAGGCGTGCGCAGCCCTCGCTCTGGGCTTTAGTGGTCAGCATCATCTCAGGGGCGGCCGCGAGTGTCCTCTGTCCTCCCTTCAGCTCTTGGGGCCTCGTCTCCCAGACCTCGTTGCTTCCATCCCCGTTTTTGCCCCGTTGAAACTTCCTCCTGAGGCCAGACTCGGTGTTTTAGGCAGTGTGACGCTGCCAGTTTCTTCGGGGTTAGACAGCCCGCGGGAAGAGCCCAGGGAGCCTTCCTCCGATCCGAGGCTGAGTGTGCATCACACGAGGAACAGCTAAATGGCTGCTGTGCAGCTGGCCCAGCAGACCACTGTGTCAAGCTCTGCGGTAGGTGTGGAACGTTGTGAGAAGTTGGGGCTCCCCCCACCGCCCACCGGCCCGCTCTGAGAGCCGTGGGAGCTGAGAGGGCTGTGACAGGGCCAGTGTGACAACCAGCTGCAGAGAAGCGTTCGCAGCCTGCCTGTGAGCCACCCAGAGACGTGAACTCCAAATCTGGCTCCACGTGGTGGATTTCCCACTCGTGACCTCGTCTAGCTCTTCCTGAATCCCTGCTGACGTCATTTCTTGAGTGACATGGCAGGGAACACGCTCGGCTTTGTTTCGCAGGGTTTTGCGGCCAGCTCTCCTGGTCTTTCGATGAGGCACTAGAAACGACGCCAGTAAAGCGGGTGCCGTGAAGCAGCAGCCAGTCTGGACTGCGAAGGGCGAGACCTGAGACAGGAAGGTGGCAAGTAGGGGCCTTCAAGGCACAGCAGTTCCAGTGCGTCCCAGACCGCGACCTTCGGTGTGAAGAAATGAAACATTTCAAACTTTTCTATAACTAAACTTAGTGGTTCTGACGCAGGGCAGCACGACTCTCCCCAAGTGGGGACTCAAGTCCTCTGCCCCTGACAGGGGGTCCCTGGCTCCACGCAGGGAAGCGTTCAAGAGCACGTCAGAGCTAGAGACAAAGGAAAGTCTATCAGGGGGGAACAACGCTCCACAGACAGAGCGCGGTTTCCTCTCAGAGCCAGAGACTGGGACCCTGAGCGTTCGAGGAGCCGGGTTTATATCTGTTTCTTAACTTCTATGAAAAATTACAGTAAAGAATGGGACGAATGGTTGCGTTGGTCTTTAACGTGCGGGGTCCAGCTCGAGGTCGTCGTTTCCCTGGTTCCCTTCCTGGTGCGGGTGAACAGTTGCGGGTGCTCCCTGCAGGAGTCGTCTCTGTTCTGCAGGTCCCTGTGCTCTGGCCATGGGGCCAATCACCCAGGTTCCGCGTCGAGGAGCCCGTAGCGGGCTCTGAATTCCATTTGGTCTAATATTTAGTCGACCTGTGTAGTTCTTATGCCTCTTTCCTGTATCCATTCCTCGTCCACTTTCTTTACAAGTTATTGTTTCTGTTAAACAACTTTATTCAGGGGAATTTTCTATTGATACTTTAACTTTTTAGGATGAAAACAAAAATCTTTTTTCTCTAAAAAAAAAAGCCATGATTTTATTTTTTTCTTTCGTAAGTATTGTCTCAGCCATGGATTTCAAAAATCTATTCTTGAAACACAAAAGCTGAACAATAATTCTTTCTTTGTTTTTGCATTTCTGCTTTAATAATTTGAATCCTCCCTGAGGCTATGGATGCCTCCGACTGAAACAGAGCCTCTGAAGCACAGAGGTTTTCGGAAGAGAAGGCACAGCCCTGCCACGACTCTGAGGCAACAGCAGGACCAGGGGCTCCGAAAAGTGCAGGCCCATCTTGGAGACACTTGAAGGATGGGAAGTTTGCTAGAGAGGAGGAAGCGTGCCAAAAAGGCGAATGGAAAATGGATGTGGAAAGAAATCAGGATGAGAGCTTTCCGAGGTTTCACTTTCGGGCTCAGTAGGGGATTCCCTAGTTCACTTCACCTCGCCCGGGTGGCCCTTGGGAGGACTTGTCTGGACTTGTAGGATCTGGATCCTGGAGAAGAGAATGGGAGGGAAAAGAGTGCTGATTATATAGGGAAAAGAATAGGAAGAGAAATCATTTTAAGTTTGTTCAAGATATTTTAAATAGATACTAATGAAAATTTGCCCTAGATCCCAAATTCTTCTCTGTTAGAGAAGAATTTAAAAGACATAAGAACTTAGTACAAAATATGTCTGGCAGCTAAATAAAACAAGTAGTATGGAACTTATAAATGGAAAATATTATTTTTCTTCATTCTAGGAAACACAGTTGAAAAGGGAATATTATTCTAGTTTAAAAACCAGAAAAAATAGCATGGTTGAAAAGGAGCTTAGTAATTTAAGTGAAAAGTATAACTATCCATGTGTTCCAGAAGCTCACCCAAGTAAACTGAGGCTCGGCCACGTAATCCCCCTTGGCTTCAGACATTTGGGTCAAAGAAACAGTTACCAAAAAAAAAAAAAAAAAAAAATAGGCACTTCTGTCTGTTTATAAATGAATATTCAGAGTTTGTCTTTCAATTCTTTTGGTCTTTTAATTGACAATTTATTATCAGTCAGTTAGCTCCGAATTGGTTTACAGTTGATAGGCATAGTGTTCACATTTACTGAGTGCTGATTATATGCACTTTACATATAATAACTCATTTAATTCTCACAAGAACCCTGTGAGATAGATGCTGTAGTATTTTACAGCTAAAGAAATTGGAGAAAAGTTAACTAAGCAAATACTATGTACCAGATACTAAGTGCTTTGATGTGGTATTTCATTTAATGCTTAAAAAATACCTCTGAGATTTTGTTACTTTCCCATTTTGTAGATGAGCAAATTGAAACTTAGGTGAATTTGTTTTAAGGTGATACAGCTAGCAAGTGATGGAAGAAGAATTTTAACCCAAGTCTGCCTATTAATCCAAATTCCTAGCTTATATAATGTTGAAAAGCTAGAAATAATCTATATATCCAATAATGAGTAGTTAAATTAATAGTACATCTGTGTAATGGAATATTATGCAGCTATTAAAATGATGCTGAAAACATACTATATTGAAATACAAAACAAACTTTCCAGATGCAAAAAGGCAGGTAACATAGGTACAATATGATTTCATTTTTAAATATATAAAAATATAGACATATATATATACTTTCCTAGAGAGGAATATAGAAGCACAATGAAAATTCAGACTCTGCCTCCCCAAAACATGCCTTTTTGGCATAGGATTATTTTGAGCTGATTATTCTGAGAAACTGCGGACACAGCAGAGGCTCTGAGACAGAGTAGGTCAGCCTTTCGTAAGGGACAGACACTTACAAAGGAAGTCTCCATTTTTAAGTGTCGGTCTCTCAGTACCAGGATGGGATAGACGACTAAATCACGAGAAGCCTGCCGTGAGAGGAGGCTCAGACTGCACGGCAAACCTTACCCTCCTTACCTCGCCCTTCCTGGTCACCTCGCATCACTGGCCTCACCCCTAACATCTTTCTTTTATTTTTCGCTGGAAATGGTGTTTACGGTAGTGGCTTGGGCCATCTGGAGAGTTACTCGTTTTACCTGGGTACCTTCCATGTATACATGACGTATACATGTTAATAAACTTCTGTTTTCTTTTTTTTTAAATCTGTCTTTTATTATAGGGACCTCAGCCAATAGCCCAGAATGGTAGAGGGAAAGATTTTTTCCTCCCCTACACTGGTTCAAAAATTATTAGGAATTTTAAGCTGGTGACGGCAGAGCATTGAACCAAGTACAGGATCCTCCTGAGTGTAAGGCTCTGTGGGACTGCGCAGGTCACATGCCCACACGGCTGGCCCCCGCTGTGAATACTCTTTATGCTCTGCTTTTTGTTTTTGACGGGGATCAGAATATACCACCCCAAAATATACCCCTGTGGCATACAAGTATTTCAAGCTGAAGGCAATTGACATGCAGCTGACAGAAGGACTTTCTGCCCACCTTCTCTCTGTCTGACAGCGGGGCGGAAATTTCCCTTATGTAACGGTGATGTCGTTTTCCTTTTGTAAGGCGTTCCCCTCTGGACAAAGAGGAGAAGTACGACTCTTATCTGCATAACGACCCTCACTACACGAGTCTTATTGCCCATACGTTTCCTAGTCTCTTCTCCACAATTTATTGCTCTCTGTTAAAATGGTACATAATCCCCCAGCTCTAACTGCCTCTTTGGGTTTTCACCTCCTTTCTGTGAAGCCCCTTTGCACATAAAAATATTAACATCAGTAAAGAAGCATAAGTTTTTCCCCTGTCAATCTTTTGTCAGTTACATTTGCAGGGCCCCATGCAGAACCTGAGAGGGTAGTGGAAAATTTTTTTCTCCCCTCCATTTGTCAGTATTTCACTGCTTGTATGTCTTGGATGTCTTTCATTGCTTGTAATAAGAAAAAAAATTAAGTAATGAAAGGGCATCAAGTGTGGTGGGAGTATTGGAGTGTGTGTGTGTATATATACATATATATACATATATATACACACACACACACATATATGTATATGTATATTTACGCACGCACACACACACACAATGTTTTTCTAATTGCTTGCCTGCCTGCCTGCCTGCCTGCCTTCCCTCTCGCCTGCCTGCCTGGCTGCCTGCCTGCCTTGCAAGTTTTGCAGTGGAAGGCGATGCTTTTCAATGCGAGGCCGCTGCCTGCCTGCCTGCCAGCACCTCCGCCGGCTGTCACGAAAGATTTTCCTTCACCGTGACGGGAAGAAAATATTCCATAGTGCCGAACCCTGGCTTTTTCCTTCCTTCCTTCCTTCCTTCCTTCCTTCCTTCCTTCCTTCTTTCTTTCTTGCCTAAATAACTGTCGCTAAAGCCAGGGGACAGAGTTGAGCCAACGTGAGCATTTGCACTGGAGCGTGGTAGTGTCCAGCACAAGGAGGTGGAGCCCGAGGGGGATGAGAAACACATCAGCACGGAGTGGGCTGGTGGCGGCAGTCTGGCACGTGGGGCCCGAGCAGGCCAAGGGCAGCACCCATACGAGGGGCAGCCACCCGGCGTGGGTGTCGGAGGCAGGACGAGGCAAGGAGTGGCGGTGAGGAGAGATGAGTTACGTTGCTTGTCGATCAACAAACCCAATCTATGGAGGTCTTGGGCCAGGTTTCTCCCCGAGAAAGAGGAGTTTGAGTGTGGAAAGAGGGGAAGCTGGGAGTGACCCCGTGGTGCGTGAGGCTGGATTGGACATGTCAGTGATTTTGTGTCTTCCATAATGTTTGTGTGCGTATACGTGTGTATACTCGTACATAGATGTAGGTATGTGTTGCCTAGCTCTTTTGATTGAAAAGGCTTGAGAACAATGTCCTCACAATAACATTGAGCATACCTGATGTTCATTTTTCGAAATACCGTTCTCTACAAAACAATATAGTAATAATAATCATAACAATAACAAAACAAAACAAAAAAGCAGAGCTCTTTGAAGAAATACTTGATTCCGGGTCTCGGGGAGGAGAAGTACAAGATAAGCTTAGAACATTTTCGTGTTTGTGCCAGAAAGTAAAAAAAGTGTTCAAAGATTGATAGGAATATGTCAAAGAACATGAAAACCAGCCTGGAGGGGCACTCGCTGACCAAATCTGGGATAATTTGAGCATCAGCGAACAATGGAAGGAACAGATATTGCCTACTGAATATGATAAGCATTCGTAAGTCCATCGCTAATGTGCATAAATAAGTGAGTAAATGAATGCGGAGCAGAGAAAGCTTTTCTCTACAGTGTCACGCTAACCGACAACTGTGGAAGGAATGACGGAATTAGGAAATCATTTGGCATCATAGCAGAAAATCTTGCGATGCTTCAAAGATTTTCCCAACTTCACCATCTTGCGATGCTTCAAAGACGGAATTAGGAAATCATTTGGCACCATAGCAGAAAATCTTGCGATGCTTCCAGACGAAGAATAGAACTTGCAAAGGTAACTTACAAAGGAAAGATAACCGGACGGACTTCTCATCTGCACTTTCGGTTGAAGTAGACAATTCGCATTTCCATTTCCAGACCCTTGGCAATATCCCTACATAGAAGAAAGTTATTATTCACACGTGAGAGCAAAGTAAAGACATTTTACACATTGCAAGGGCTCTGAAAATATCCCACCCATCTACCTTTCTGACAAAATTCTCTAACCGAATGAAAATCAAGTCTCATGATAGAGAAGATGAAAAGTTCAAGAAACATCGATGAGCGATAGATCTTATGATATTTACAATTAAATCTAAATGGTTGATGATGGTGAAGTTGGGATTATACTCTGTTAAGACTTTTGAAACAGGAACGAGATTCTAGGAGGTAAAACACGGTAATAGTCTGAGACTGAAACCCTATAATCATCGCATCCAAACTAAAGATTTGGGCAATAGGGGGGTTGTGGGTATTTAATTGTTCTAAAAACTTCATTTCAGTAGAAAAAGGGGAGAAGCATCGAATTAGTTGTATGGATGACGCGAGACTCCAAAATGCTACTCAGAGTGGCATACAATTTAAAACTTAAAAATTATTTCCAGAATTTTCCACTTAGTATTTCGGACTGAGGTTGACAGTAGTAACTGAAACCACCGAAAGTGAAGCCATGGACTAGGGGGGCCACTGCAGAGAGTTCCAGCACGATTTCACAGGACAGTCGTACCACACAGTAAGTGACTCCTCTGCAATGTATGTGAACAAACACTTCACACAAAGGCTGTTGGTAAATTATGGACACGAGATGATTAACCACAGCTCTATTTGTAGCAGTGGTAAAAAACCATCTAAATGGCCCCAAATAGTGGGTAGTGAAATGAATTATAGATATACCTACTTGATATAATTCTTAAAGTATGAGTTCTGTAAATAATATAGAGAAAGAGGAAAGGATGTTTTTACTAAGGAGAGTAGAAGATAAAAATATTCCCAGACTATGATTGCAACAGTGCAAAAAAGGACATTAGCCAGTGAGCAAATGCCAGAAGGGAGCACAAATCAAACAGGAATCATTGATGTCTTAGGCTAGTGGAATGTGGGTGAAGTCTTTTTTGTATTCATGGCTTTTATTGTCATCCAGTTACTCAAGCACTAGATGAAATCAGAGTCTCAAAACAGAGGAACAGATGGGTGGAAGTGGACAGTGCTGGAGGAGCTTTGCAGCGGAGGGACGCAGGAAACGGCCAGTGTCTGCAGAAGGGTGTGGAGTCAGGGGAAGGGAGAGGCTCTTTTGAAGATAGGAAGGAGCTACATATTTTTATGCTGATGGGAATGATTTATTGGCAGGGAAGAAAACCGATGCTGGAGAAGTCCTTCAACGAAGGAGAGGAACTGTGACCGGACGCTGAGGGGCAGCTGGGCAGGGGCCAGGTAGAGTGTGTGGCAGCAGGTGCAGGTACATTGGCTATTTGGTGGTGGAAGTTGAGGGGATTCTATTCTTTTTTTCTTTTTTTCTTTTTTTTTTTTTAGGTGAGGCAACCCTTGGTTGACCTCACAGATTGCAAGGACCTTGTCAGCTTACAGTCCCTTATTTTTTATTTTTTACGCCTATAGCACCTGGTCTTCCTAGGTGGTCTCCCATCCAAGTACTAACCAGGCCCAACCCTGCTTAGCTTCTCAGATCAGACAGGATCGGGCTTGTTCAGGTTGTCATGGCTGTAGACTGGAGATTCTATTCTGATTGATTCCATTACAGTCAATGAACTAAGAGGCGATGGGTAAAGTGGTCTTAGAGGCTGAAAGAATTAATGGATCAAAGCAATATGGTAGAACTTCCTGAGACAACTGAGCGTCTGCTCGAGGGTCGGGCAGTCACAGGCCTTACTGACGTATCCTGTGCAACACGGCCTGACTCAGCTATATAATGTCGGTGCCTTGAACACACAGTCTTCCTTTTTTCTATGACTCTTAAAGAAACGAGTTTGGTTTCAGTATCACAAATTGCTATTACCCTACCTCTTCATTTTATATGTGAACGGAGATGTTGAAAGTGCACTTGTGCGTGGAGTGTAAACTTACACTTACTCGTTGAATGTTTTATCATCACACAAGAACATCTTCTGGAGACATCAGAACGAGCTGCCCCTAGGAACTGATGCCACCACGCGCCAGAAGCCACGACCTGTGACTTATGGGTTTGAAGTAGAGTGTAGATTCTTAAGAGACTTGAGACCCCTCAGCCAAAGGTAGAGAAATACGTGTCATTTTGTTTTATGTGAGTGATATAGCTTGGATTTATTTATTTATTTCTTTTTTTATTGTTGGCTTTAAGTGAAGACAGGGCCACACAAATTGCATGACTAACTCCTCTCCAAGGAGAGATACTTTTGCAGCCTACACACTGATGTCATTGAAAGTACCTAATACCAGTGAGGTGGGGGCGATTGCACATTGGGGTTTATTCTAAGTGGATCAGGAAATGGGGGGAGCAAAGGGAATAGGAAGCCCTGAAGAAAAACAAACACATTAGGAAGAAAGATAAATTAAAATGAAGCATCGAAAGTAATTAACCAAGAAAAATGGTCATGCGCAATGTGTATTCTGTCTTTGGTTCCTTTAAAAGTGCATATTCCCTGGGGAGGAACAGAAGAGAACAATGAAAAGATGAGCGGAATTTCCTTTCTATTCCCCAGAATATTCAGCTCAGAGGGACCTCTATGCTTTCCCTGTGCAAAACGAGAACTTTCCCTTCCAGACTAAAAGTCAAAATTCTGGATGTTTATAGCCTAGAATTGTGAATCTGGCAACTTACGCCAGAGAGTGTCATTTTGAATGCTGGTGATCTAGGGACTTTCCAGGTGACATTGAAATTACTGTTCCTTAGCACTTTTCACACTGAAGCCAAACAGATCACAAAACAATAAATATAAATGCTCAATAAACTTATGAAAAAGTGTTTAATTTCTATAATAATTTTAAAAATTCAAATTAAACCAGTAATAAACTACCATTTTTTACATGTCAAGCACTCCAAAGATTATATTTAAGACAATACCTAAAGGTAAAGGGAATGTGGGAAAGAGGGACTCTTATCCTGCTTTTGGGAAAAGTATAAATTGACACAACTTTTTCAAACCAACTTGATAAAATGTATCTCAGAGCCTTAAAACATTCATTTATTTAATCAAAAGTATTTTATTGAATGTATTCTATATCAAGGGCTGGAAATTACATTCCATCACTTTGTAGACATTACATAAATGATTACAAGTGCAGTGAGTCTTGTGAAAAGGAAATCAAAAGGAAATAAAAGCAAGGAATTAATCCTAAGGAAGTAATCAGAATTATGCAGTAAGATAATTTAAACAGCAAGAGCTACCTAAATGTCTACAGACAGTGGATTAAATAAATTACAGTATATTCATGCAATGGAACAATATGATGGCGTTAAGAATGAACATAGAAAACACTTAGTAACATATAGAAATGTTTGTAATACACTGGTCAATGGAAAATGACGTTATGAAAGTGTTCACAGGACCCAATTTTGTAAAATCCAAACTATCTGTACATGGACCCAATACTATCTGTATCGCAGGACCCAATTTTGTAAAAACAAAACTATAAGTGTATATGGCGGTCCCTCATTATCCACACTTTTACTCTCTGCAGTTTTAGTTACCCTCCATCAGCCGCGGTCTGAAAATATTAAATGGAAAATTCCAGAAAAAAACAATTTATAAGTTTAAAATTGCGCATCAGTCTAAATAGCATGATGAAATCTTGTGCCATCCCACCCAGGATGAGCAAGAATCACCTCTTCGTCCAGCGTTATCCACCCTGTGTAAGCCACCCTCCCGTTAGCCACTTGGTAGCCAGACGGGTTATCACAGAGAGAGACCACGTCCACAGAACTTGTATTGCAGTATAATTGTTCTTTTTTTTATTATCGTTGTTGATCTCTTACTGTTCCTACTTTATAAATTCAATGTCATGATAGATGTGTGTGTACAGGAAGAAAACATAGTATGTGAGGGGGTTGGTACTGTCCACGGTGTCAGGCACCCACTGGGGGTCTCGGAAGATACCGCCCCTGCAGATAAGCGGGGCTGATGTGCTAGCAAATGTTATCAATGGTAATCGCTAGCTGGGGAGGTTACAGTGATATTTTTCTCTTTGCACTTATCTTCACAAACATTCATATAGTTGCAAAAAGTAATAACATTAGCTTTTCAGACAGCATAGTGTTTTGGAGAGTTTGAATTAATGAAACGCATTTTCCTATCATAGAAAGAATATTGAGAAAACATTTGAAATTTTCAAATCCAGTCAACTGCTGTTCCAATTTTTTTAAAAAAAATATTACTCATTCTTTCTGTATTACTTTTGTGAGATGACCTTAAAGAATACTAACTTGAGATGAAATTTTGTACTCTCCTTGTGACTGGGGGCTGAGGTGTTTAAATGACCTTTTTCATCCCCGGAGATGACTGCTGTAGGTCAGGCTTGAGGTCATTGGCTGCAGAGTTACAGTCATAGTTTTGGCCGAGGTCAGAGTAAACTTGGGCTACAGACGAAGCTGATGCTCTCTCGGTGATGAAAGAAAAAACATTCAATCCTCCCCTCTGAGCACAAATAATCAGCCAATTCTGGTGGGCTGGAGTTTGTAATAGTTATAAATCTGGTACACACTGCTGATTGACCATATATGGTCAGGTTAAAGTTACTGATGTTTGGGAACATTTCTGGGAAAATAGAAGTATTTTCAAGGAAAGATGAAGAATCTTAAAGCTGTAGAGATGGAAGGACCCTTCCGGGGTTCATTCTTCTGTATCTAGAAAGGCTAACAGAGGAAGAGTCCAGGGTAAGTGGATACTCTATTTGGAGAACTGACGGAAAAGGGTTTCTATAACTTTCTGCTGTCACTTCAGTCTCTGAATAAGAGAACCTGATGATATGCGGGAATTTGCGTGATGATTCAATGCCCGATTATGGTCATCGGTGTTGCCCCATCTTGAAATATCCCTATGACATGAATGTTCCAGATGTGATCTCTTCAGAGTTCAGAGGAAGTGTAACCTTCTACCACCCTGGCACTGTAGTTGTCTTAGCTTCATTGGCAACGATTTACCCTATGGGTTGCTATGCAGCGTGCTGTGGTGTTCAATTTGCCAACATAAACGGTCTCCTTCATTTCCAGATCGCAGACAATTGGAGGTATAGATTTACATGGTGGGGGTGGGGAGGGGATGGGGGTTGGGCCTGGGATTAGGCCGCTGAATTCTTAACATTCATGTGACCTTTTTTACATGACATTTTTCCAAGCCGGATCCCCATAAGCTGTACTCACCCAACTTATTTTTTTAAAAAACTTAGATATAGGACTTTACTCATATCTACATTATTACTAATTGTATGTCGATCCTTTTCAACTTGTAGAAAGGCTTTTAAATTTTAATTTTGTTATCTGTGCAACTAATTAGCGTTCTTAGCTTTACAGATGCTAAAACTTTGGCAAGAATGGCACCTCGTTGAAGGTGTGAACTCCATTGATGGGCGCGTAACTCAGTACATTCCCTTTGGCGGTAAATTGGGCAATGTCAATTAACATTGAAAAAGCAGGGGCCCAGCAAATCTATTACTAGGTAATGACTTTGGAGAAAACCTTACATTCACGTGCAGCTAAGACTTGTGAGCAGCCCACGTGCAGCCAGCTGGGGATGGTCTGGCGGTATGGGTGCATCACTCCGCAGCCGTTAAAATGAGAGCAGAGTGTCCCCATTCTCAACCAACAGGGGACATTTCTAAGACACATCAGAGTGAAAATGTGAGTTGCCGAAAGATAAAGACGACATGATCTACACATCAAAGCGATACTTATCTTTGCTGTGGGTACACACACACATATAACGCATCCAGAAAGATTCGAAATGATGCATACCAAGCTGAGAGACAGGGTTCCGTCTGGGAGAAAAGCGAAGTGGCTGGGATTGGAGGCCGAGTCCAAAGATATCCTTGCCAGGATCTATCTGTAATGCTTTCGGTTTTTAAAAAAGATACTGTATTAATGGGCTTTTTTTGTATTAATGGACTTTTTAACCATTTACAAAGTAATAATTTAAAAAAGGAATGAAAAGAAACGCCATTAAGTTGTCAATAAAAATGTTGAGAAGGAAAATAGCCTTAAGGTCATCTTAAAAAATATTTCTGCATTTTAAAGAATACATTTGAAAATAAGAAGCCAGTTAATTACAAGACTTAGCTGATGAGGAGGCCCAAGGACATCTGCCCACTGGGGGATTCTCCGCGTGCCTCGTGGACGTGTGGGAAGCGTGCGCCGCGGCCGTCCATCCTCTCCCCGTCCGCGAGGTGGCCATTGTCTGGGCCTCGGCCTTTCGTACTCAGTACTCAGTATGTATTTTGGTTTCACATCTGGAAACTGGAAGCTAAAATTCCCCGGGGCGTCCAACTTTGAGGAGCAAGGCGGAAACTGGCGAAGGGATCCGGACAGAGGTCTCTCCAAACACAGCCGCAGACGCTTTTCTAGCGGGAGAGGTAAGAGGGGAGCGTGGAAGCCACCAGAAGGCCGTCTGTCCCCGGAACCTACAGGACACACGGACCCTCCACACTCACTTTCTATTTTTGTTGAGGAAATTCATACCAAATTATATTTTTCTCAGTACATATGTTTTAAAATAAATTGTTTAAGTAGGAAAAATAGTACACGCATATGGTTTTTAAAAATCAAACAATGCAAAAACAGTGCAATGGGAAGTCGTTCGACTGCAGATTCCGGCCCTAGTTCTTCTCCCCAGAGGCAGACATAGTCTCTCTGGACAAGGCAGGTGTTGTGATGTACGCGCGTTTTCCCTTCAGGAAATGGAAGCATACTATGCACACTGCCGTGCACTTGACATTTTTCACGTGTTTTCCACTTTTCAGTATTTTTTGGAGATCATTCCATGGCCATGCATATAGATCGACTTCATTTTTTAAGAAATCTGCAATAGTTCATTATAGAATTGCATCTGATAATGATAGGCTTTCAAAAACTACTTATTAAATGAGTAACTGGACTATAATTTTTATAAGCCTCTCCTGATAACCATTTTTATCGCTTCTTTCCAGAGTTTTGCAAACCTGAAGTGTGTATGTTCGTACATTTTTGTGCAAATGTGTGAATATATCTGTGGGATAAATTCCTAGAAAAGAAGTTGCTGGATTGAAAGGTACTTATTTCAAATATTAAATGCTATTGCTACTTCGATCTCCCACCAAAAAAGAGTGTACCTGCTTCCTCCTCCTCTCTGATGCTGTATGTTAAACATTTTGACTGCCCCATCTGTAGAAAAATACGTCATTCTAGATTTAATTCGCATTTCTTTTACTCACATGTCTTATATTTTATTTATATATTTCAGAAGATTGCTTTATGTAAATATTATGTATTTAGCTATACATTTTATTTATACTTTCTTTTCTATGAACTACTTGTTGTTATTCCTTTACCCTGGGACTTTTCTCAGTGATATAGGAGATCCCTTTATGATTCTAGAAGGTTGATGTTGATGCCACAGACACTGCATATTTCCCCGGTTTTTCATTTATCTTTTGACTTTCTCGTGAGCAGGCGCAGCACAGGTGGTGGGCACTTGCATTAAATTTACGTAATCGAAGGGTTCATTCAAACAGCTTTCCCAAAACCAAGGAGCAGTCTGTCCCAAAGGGAAATTCAGGTTCCCATTTCTGGCAAGTTTTCTTTAAGAGACAGTTTTTTTTTCCTCTCTCCTAGTTTTTGCACATTAAAAAAAAAAAAAGTGCCTTGAAATTATAGTCAGGATGAACCTTTAAACTAATGTCAAAATAAGAACAACTGGACAATGAGATTAGATAGAATCTCTGTAATCTGAGCAGATTACACAGAATGTAAGAAACAGCAGGGCCTTCTGTAAGGGGCCATCTTTATAATGTATTTCTTAGTACTAACGATTTACCTGAATGAAATTGATGTGAGGAAGGCTGCGCTCCTATTTGACTCCATAGCTCTTCCTATGCAGCTCTTACTGTAGTGTGGAGTTCATTAAAAAATATAGAACATATGACTCAACCTAATCACTTCTAGCATCCCTCTCTTTAAAAGGTAAAAGAACAAATCTTTGTGGTCGTCCAGCAGCACTCAGGGAAGCCCCGAAGATAAGAGTAACCAGTAATTGTGTTGAACATCTTTTCATGTACTTACTGCCTATTTTTATAGCATCTTTGGAGAAATATCTGTTCGAACACTTTGCACACTTTTAAATGATGTTACTTGTCTTTTCATTTTAGAGTTGTAAGAGTTCTTTATATATTCCAGAGACTAGACTCATCATATATATGATTTGCAAATATTTTCTCCCATTCTCTAGGTTCTTTGGTGGATAGTGTAATTTGATGCACAAAAGCATTTAATTTGGATGAAGTACAATGTATCTATTTTCTTTTGTTGCTTGTGTCTTTAGTGTCAAATATTTAAAAAGAAAACATTGTCTAGTTCAAGGTCACAAAGGTTTATACCTATGTTTTCTTCTAAGAGTTTTATAGTTTTTGCTCTTACAATTAAGTCCGTGACCTAGGTTGAGTTAATTTTTCATTTATTCTTTTCCAGTTGTACCCCAGTTGTTGGGAGGACTATTCTTTTCACATTGAATGGTCTTGGCACCCTTGTTGAAAATCAGTTAGTCATAAAGGTCAGTGTTTATTTCTTGACTCTCACTTCTATTCCATCGATCTATATGTCTGTCCTTATTCCAATATCACACTGTCTTGTACATTGTAGCTTTGTAGAAAGTTTGGAAATCGAGTCTGTTCTTCTTCAAGATTATTTTAGCTATTCTCGGTCCTTTGCATGTGCATAGCAATTTTAGGGTCAGCTGGCCACTTTCTTCAAAAAAGGAAGTCGAGATTTTGGCAGAGATGCATTGAATCTGTAGACCAATTGGAGTATTACCATCTTACCAATATTAAGTCTTGCAATCCATAAACACAAATGCCATTTCATTTATTTCAATCTTCTTTAATTTCTTTCAGTGTTTTATAGTTTTCAGTATTCAAGTCTTAAACTTCTTTGGTTAAATTTATTCCTAATATTTTATTCTTTTTGATGCTATTGTAAACTATTTTCTTAATTTTATTTTTGAATGGTTCTTTGCTAGTGTAAAGAAATACAACTGACTTTAATGTATTGATCTTGTATCTTGCAACCTTACTAAACCCATTTATTAGCTGTGATTGGTGTGTGTGTGTATGTGGGCGGATGTGTGTTCTCTAAGGTTATGTATATATATAAGGTGGTATCATCAGCAATCTGGATGCCTCTTATGTCATTTTTTGCCCAACTGTCCTTGCTAGAACCTCTAGGATAATGTTAGGTAGAAATGGTGAGAGTGAACATTCTTGTCTTATTCCTGACTGTAAGAGTAAAATGTTCAGGTTTTTTAATTTTTTATTTTATTACTTATTTATTTATTTTTTATCATTTTAAGTATTAAGTGGATTTTTTTGTAAATGATCTTCATCGAGTTGAGGAAGTTTTCTTCTAGTCCTAGTTTGTTGAGTGCTTTTTTAAAATCATTAAAGAGTGTTGGAATTTGTCAAATACTTTATAAATGTTCAATGAGATGATTGTGTGTCTTTTTACTCTTATTCAATTAATGTGGTATTTTACATGGACTGTGCTTAGCCAACCTTGCATTCCTGGAATAAATCCCACTTGGACATGATGTATAATCTCTTATGTGTGGCTAGGTTCTATTCGATAGTAATTTGTTGAGGATTTTTGCATCTATATTCATAAGGGATACTGGTCTACAGGCTTCTATAGGTTTATATTCTTGTGATATCTTTGTCTGGCTTTGATGTCAGTGTAATACTAGCCTGAATATAGATATGTAGCTATAGATATATTTAAGAGAGATTTATTATCAGAATTGGCTCCCCTGGTTATAGAGACTGAGAAGTTCCGTGTTCTGCCATCTGCAAGTTGGAGGACCAGAGAAGCTGGTGGTTTAACTTATTCTGAGTCTGAAAGCGTGAGAACCAGGGAAAATCATGATGTGACTCCCAGCCTGAGGCTGAAGGCCCGAGAATCAAGAGGCTGCTGGTTTAAATCCCGGAGTCCAAAAGCCTGAGAAACAGGGATCTTGATATTTTGGACGTCTCAGCTCAAGAAGAGAGAGGGAATTCTCTCCTTCTTCACCTTTCTGTTCCATTCGGGACCTGGGCAGATTGGGCAGATTGGGCAGTAATGCTGAGAATGAATCTTCCTCACTTGTTGACTGATTCAAATGTTCGTTTTATCAGCTATGGGGAAGTCCCTTAGCCCCGTCAAACTGACACATAAAATTAACCGTCACCACAGGAACCAGTCTCCTTCCACTAGACATAACTCGTCTGCATATTATTGGTTATCGTGTTAGTCAGCTAGGGTCACCATAACAAAATGATTTAAACAACAGAAATTTATTTTCTCACAGTTCTGGAGGCTGAAAGTCCAAGATCTGGGTGTTGGCAAGGCTGGTTTCTGGTGAGGCCTCTTTTTTTTGACTAGCCCAGGGCAGACTTCTTGCTTTGTGCTCACATGGTCTTTTGTCTTTTCTCCTGGAGTCTTTCCTCTTTTTAGAGGGACACCAATACTATTGGATTAGGACTTCACCTTATGACCTCATTCAACCTTAATTACCTCCTTAAAAGGCCTGTCTCCAAATACAGTCACATTGAAGATTAGGACTTCAACACAGGAGTTAGGGAGAGAACACAGTTCAGTCCCCGACAGTTATCTACAACTTACAAGAGGCATAAAATTGCTCAAAAACAATGAAAAGTGCAGTGACCCCATTGAATCATAAAAGCTAGACAATGCCTGATTTTCCATTGAAGATATTTAGTAATCCTTTTTGTCCATTCAAAAGTTTTTTACATTTTCCCCTACAATTTAAAAGTGAATTTGCTATTCTCATGAATTTTATAATATTGTTATATAGTTTTTAAATTGTGCTAGAATTTAAATTAGTATTGTTTAAAAATTTTTAAATATGGTTAGAGGAATTTTCCATTGTTATTTTACTATATGTTTTCATCTATGAACATTTGAGATTTTTTTAAAGCTCATTAAATCATTGTACTTTTTCATAATTTATATTATGAACAATTCTTATAAATTTATCTGATATCGTGAGGAAAATTCCTTTTTCCTTTATGGTTTCTAAGTAGTTGTCACTGGAACCTAGTGGTTTTTGAAAAATAATGAGTTTGGTATCCATCTTTCAAAATTCTCCTATTAGTTCTATTTTTCAAAATTATCTTTATTTTATATTCATCCTCACAATTGGGTAAATTAAGAGTGGAAGTAATTTGAGCGTGCATGGGTTAGCCGAGAGAGTGTTGACTGCACCTGAGAATAGTGTGTCTGTAAGTGTGTTGGGAGGGGGCCAGGTAGGGACTCGAGACAGCTCTCTCAATGATGTCGTCTTAGTTAACACTGTTTGTCTCAGAGACCTAGATTCCCAGAACCGAATTAACTATTTCCTGTATTATCTCCTCTCCTGGTTTAGAAGGAACTAGGAAACGAGGGGTTATTGTACATGGAATGTGATTCCACAAGATCTGTGGGCCATTAGCACACACGTTACTTAACTGCTTGTAGCTGTTCCCCGAATTTCTGGATACTACTGTTAGAAAGTATTTTGACTTAGGTGTTATCACTCTGCTTTTGGAATGCTCAGGTTTCTGTGACATGGAGTTAAAGGCTTATTCAAAACTACTTTATTTCAAGGTAAGTGGCAGCCTGATGAGTGTGCCGGATGAATTAAAAAAGAATCTGGAGGCTTTGGCTAGAAATAAACGATAAAGATTTATTCAAGGATCTTAGGGTTTGCAAACTGGAGACACAGTGAGGCAATACCCAGAGAGTTCTGAAGAAAGAGAAGCTAAGAGTTCTTGTTGTAAAAAGTATAGTCTGGGGCAGATTCAGCCCTGCATTCTTAGCCTCTGGACTGGTCTGAGGTGGTGATTCTCTAGATCAGTCCCCAGCTGATGCTCCTATGAGAATCTAATGCCTGATCTGAGGCGGAGCTGAGGCGGTGATGCTAGTGTTGGGGAGCGGAGGCAAATACAGATGAAGCTTCGCTTTCTCGCCCACCGCTCACCTCCTGCTGTGTAGCCCGGTTCCTAACAGGCCATGGACCACTTCTGGTCTGTGGCCCAGGGGTTGGGGACTCCTGCTCTAGATGACCAGTGGTCTGGACGCTGGGTGTCAGGTGGTCTGGGTACATGAACATTCTTTCCTTAGTCTTCTGGGGGGTGACCAGAGGGTTATCTGGAGGTTTGATGACGCAGGACTGGAAAGTTCAAAAGTTTAAGTTCCCAAGCTAGTTTAAACAGAATAGAATCCATTCCCCAGGCCTCAACCTACTTGACTTTAGTAATTTAGCAGCTTGACCAGACTGACTCCATTTTATTTCTTCACTCTGTTCGTCAAGTGCTACACTAGCGGTAAGCAGTCCTTGGGATGCCTGCAGAGATCACCTGGAAGGGAGCTGTCAATAGATTGTCAATGAGGACAAAGCTTGTCCATTTTAGAGAGACGTCAGAATGGTGCTCGGGCCCAGAGGAGGGTGCATCTGGGTTTGACACTCCCAAGAACCGCCTCTTACTCCTACTCCACATCCTAGAAACGCATCTAGAACCACCCAGCTTGGAGACTTGTGAACAAATGCTCATGGATGCTCTTTGGAAACCAAGCGTGCTCCTAACAGGAACTTCTGTGTGCTCTCCTCTTTCTGAAAGCTCCGCTCCCCTCCCCACTCCGCGGCCTGCCCCCTGAACGCTTGTCTGAAATCTCACTTCACCCAACTCCCCGATGGCCTTGACACTCGGGTGGTGGTGTCTGTGTCGCTCCTGCTGGCATCTGACTCCCTCACTGTGCCAGGAGGTCCCACCTCACTAGGCATTTCCCATAGCACTGCCTGAAGTGCTTTGCACGTAGTAGGGGCTCAGGATATGAAATTTTGTGGATGGACGTTTTGCTCATCTACAGTGACCATCATATTCTACGGAAAAGTACCAAAGTGCAATTAACTTCGGTTTTGTAGTTGAGGATTTTCACAGCACCCTCTCTCTCCAAGAAGTGCCTAACAGTGTAGCCAGGGCTAGTGCCAGGTTAGGAAGAAGACATGACACGCGCCTATCACGATGAGCCTGTCATCATCTCCCCGCGTCGTCTAATTCGAGCTGGGTTGATAAAAGACCTTTCCTCGTAGGCGCCCAACCCGCTCCCCTCCTCCGGCCGCCTCCTTTCCTTTCGCTGGTAAACGACTTCAGCCTGTGCTGTCAATTTTAACAGTCTGTGCCCCGCGCGTGAGCCTCTTTCGGCGAGTAGAGATGTTCA